AGCAAGATTCTGTCTCAAATAAATAAATAAATCATTCATCACCCTGCTCCCATCTGTGAAAGGAAAATAAAAACTAGGACCACGATTCACAATGCCAAAAGGAACAATTTAAGCTGAAGCTGAGTCGTGCAAGCTGCCTTTCCTTTCGTTCCTTTTGTAAGCAGATAGATACAGATAAAAGGTGAAATATCTCCACAGGTCGTTCCTTTATGTCCGCCTTATCTTATAGAAAGTGCTGACTTACTGAGCGCAGGAAGAATACATAACTGACTTCCCCTGCCTGCGCCTTTTCTCTTGCAACATGTGATTACCAGAACTTCCCTCTTTCCCCTCCAGCCTGCTTTTCTCCTTTAAATACTGAAGACCCCCAAATCGTCTTTGAAGAAAGGCACAGGCCACAGATGGTTTCTATGATTCCGTGTCCTTTGCTTCCGGATGTGTCCTTAACCTTGGCAAAACAAACTCAATTGATTGAGACCTGTCTCAGATACTTTTTGGTTTACACAAAAAAAGATGTCTGCAAAGAAGACATCTTTTTTGCTCTCTTTTTTGCTCTCTGCAAAAAAGAGACAGCAAAGGCTGTCTCAGTGAAATGTCACCCTCAGCCCATATTCCTCCAATGGTCTCAGAGAGATGGGGGTACACAGAGGAAGCCTGTTCACAATCAATCAATCAAAGATTTCAGGGCCACATAATAAGCATGAGAAACACTGTCCAGCCAGCCTCTGTTAGAGATTCACAATGCACTTTAGCATGTGTGGTGGTTAATACTGTCAACTTTAGGATGCAAAGTATTGTTTCTGGGTGTGTCTGTGAGGGTGTTGCTAGAGGAGATTAACATCTGAGTCAGTGGACTGGCAGAGGAAGACCCACCCTCAGTGTGGGTGGGCACCATCCAATCATCCAGCTGCCAGCACGGCTAGAAAAAGCAGGCGAAAGAAGGTGGAGTAAGCTGGCTTGCTGAGTTTTCTGGCTTTCATCTTTCTCACACTCTGGATGCTTCCTGCCCTCAAACATCAGACTCCAGGTTCTTCAGCCTTTGGACTCTTGGACTTATGCCAGGGGTTTGCCAGGGGCCCTCGGGCCTTTGGCCACTGAAGGCTGCACTGTTGGCTTCCCCACTTTTGAGGCTTTTAGGCTCAGACCTAGCCACTACTGGCTTCCTTGCTCCTCAGCTTGCAGACGGCCTATCATGGGACTTCACCTTATGATCGTGTGAGTCAATTCTCCTTAATAAAGTCCCTTTCATATATACATATATCCTACTAGTTCCGTCCCTCTGGAGAACGCTAATACAGCATGCTACAGGTACTGAGAGGGCCTGCAATAAAGATGCTCATGAGATCTCATTTAACCCAGTGTTTCCCAAACTCATCTGACTATGGAATTTCCCCCCAACTTATCACTAACATTGCAAAAAACCCAGTCTGGGAAAATCCTGAATCAGTTAATCCCACTAAGAAAAACATAACTTGTGCTGGAAAAGATAGTCAGTAGCCTTTGAATGCTCTCAAAGAACAGACCTCTCTCTGTCCCACCCATACCTTCCCAGTTTGCCAAGTCACCGCTACATCAGTCTGGTCATAAAAAGTGAGCCTGCAGCTCCCAGTAGATTCACAAGAATCCATTCTCATTCTCCCTGCATGAAGTGCTATTTTTGTGAAAGGAGTCACTCATCTTAGAATGACAAGGATGGATTCACCTTGGAGAGTATAACAAATGTTTAAGGCATCAGTGCCCCCAATAGGCATTGGTTCCCATCATACAAACACCACCACCCCACTGGAAAATACCGCCACAAGCCCCAAGGAAAGAAGACAACTTAAATTAACCACAAGTAAATTAAGGAGCTACCTGGTAAGTTATTTACCTGGATTCTCCTCCTTCCTCGATGTGTTTACAGTGGACAGAGTTCAGGGAGCTGATTCTGGTGTAGTCTTGGGGAGTCAGGTACAGGTATTTAAATCCCTTAAAAAATATTTTAGTGAGGCTATGAATCCAGTTCCCTGCACTGAAAGCCACTGTTTTTTTTTTTTTTTTTAATGTGAACATTGTAGGGATGGATGTTAATAACATGTTAGTAACATATCAATGATACATTAATACATCTCATGTAAATACCATATTAATAACATCCATAAACTGAAGTTCTGTTTTGAGCTAAGCTCTCCTCTAAGGACCATCTCATTTTTATTTCTTATTGCCAGCACCCCAACATGAAATTTTAATTTTCAAGATACACTGTTTATCCACTGTTTACATACTCTGTATATGTATATATGTTAACAAATATTTTATTGCCACCCCAAAAATTATTTTTCTGTCTTCTTGGGGGTAGTGGGCAATACCACCCCCAGAGAAAGCATGCTCTGAATGGAAAGGATGACTGTCCCGTCGTTTCACATCTCAGAAGGCGTGTGTTTCCCCATTCATCTTGCCTTTTACGGCAGCTGGTATCTATACAACTCCCCGAAGATTTTTTTTTTAATTGAGGTGGGGGGTCTCACTCAGTTGCCCAGTCTGGAGTGCAGTGGTATGATGATCACGGCTCGGTGCAGCCTTGAACTCCTGGGCTCCAAGTGATCCTCCCACCTCAACTTCCCAAGTAGCTGGGGCTGACTACGGGCATGCACTATCACGCTCACCTAGTTTTTTAATTAGTAGAGATGACGTCTGGCTATGCTGCCCAGGTTACCTAGGTTGGTCATGAATGCCTGGCTTCAAGCTATCCTCCCACCCAAGCCTCCTGGGTTGCTGGGATGACAGGTGTGAGCCATAATTCTAAGAACACTATGAGGCCAGGGAGTTGACATAGTCACCTCTGCATCCTCAGTGCGCACTGCATTCAGGAGCACACAGCATATATCGGCTCAGGGTTTATAGACTTCTTTCATTATTCCCGTAAGGAGCCTTTTTATATCTTTTTTTTCTAATCACCATTCCCATCCCCCCCACAGTGAAATGTTAGTATCACTGATATACTGTATGCCTGTTTATACACCACATGTATACCTGTGCTTTATACATAAGTGAGATTTTTTTTCACCTCTTGCAGGTGCTAGCACTCCTATTGAAAATACAGTAGTAGCTGAGCAGAATCACCCTGCCCCGCCAGCTTCACGACGTACTTTGTGGGGGTCTTCTGGGTCCACCCAAGCCACGTGGAACATGTGTTTGATCTCCTCTGCCATGCCAATACGGGCGCCACTGTTGGCTGCCACGTAGATTTTGGGAATGCCCTCTGCCCGGGCCATCTCAGATGCCCGCAGGTACAGAAGGTCCTCCCCAGGGCCAAAGGATCCGATGCGAAAGGTGATATCGTTGCCGATGACGATCATGTCCCGTCCTTCTGGGTACTCCTGGGTCTTAAACCTCATTTTGAAGGCCACCATGCCCACCTGGCAAGGGGATGAATGCACAAGGAAAATGAGTTTGTTTCTCTGGGGGAAAACTTTTTTTAAATTTTAGTTATTGTTATTTTTGATACAGGGTCTTGCTCTGTTGCCCAGGCCAGAGTACAGTGGTGCAATCATAGCTCATTACAGCCTCAACCTTCTGGGCTTAAGCAATCACCCCTGCCTCAGTCTCTCGAGTAGCTGGGACTATAGGTGTGCACCACCACACCTAGCTAATTTTTAAATTTTATGTAGAGACAGGTTCTCACCATGTAGCCCAGGCTGGTCTTGAACTTCTGACCTCAAGTGATGCACCCACCTAGGCCTCCCAAAGTCCTGGGATTACAGGTGTGAGTTACTGCACCTGGTCCAAAAATATTTTTAAGGGGGCAACTCCAGCCAGGGGCTAGGCTCTGCTGTTACCTCATTTCCACCAGGAAGTCGGTTCATCTCCACCAGCTGGCCCTGAGAGTCCAACACTAATTCAGTGTATGTCAGGATGTCTTTGGGATACTTGTCTGGGGAGCCCCACAGTTTAAAGAGAGCCTGGGGAGAGAAGAGGAAAGAGAAAAAGCTTGAAGTCATCAGTAGGGAGGAACTATCTTTCCCAGATGGAGATGATGTGTCATGATTCCAGGGTGAATTTTGTAGTTCACTCTCTTTTCAAATCATGAAATATTTAAAGCACCCATCCAGTGGCTCTGTCAAGTCTTGATTTTTCCATAGTTGTTTAAGGTATTTGAAAGAAAGACGAGAGATGCGACTGAAGCCCCAGCTCATTCTTCCTCCCACCTCCAACCCACAGGTGACCATTCCCTTGAATTCAGTGCCTACCAGTCCTATGCATGCTTTTTTTCTATTTTCCTTCATCCTGTATGCATACATTGGAAACACACAGTATTATTTTGCACTGCAAACTTTAAATAAATAGTACCACACTGGACACATCCTTCTGCGAATTACTCTTTTTTTTTTTTTTCCACTCTTGTTGCCCAGGCTGGAGTGCAGTGGCGCAATCTCGGCTCACCGCAACCTCCACCTCCCGGATTCAAGTGATTCTCCTGCCTCAACCTCCTGAGTAGCTGGGATTACAGGGATGCACCACTGCGCCCAGCTAATTTTGTATTTTTAATAGAGATGGGGTTTCTCCATGTTGGTTAGGCTGGTCTCGAACTCACAGCCTCAGGTGATCCACCCACCATGCCCTCCCAAAGTGCTGGGATTACAGGTGTGAGCTACCACACCCAGCTGCAAAATTACTTTTTCTATTTCTCTTTGTTTGAGAGATTTATCCATATTGATAAATTTAACTCTGGTCTGCTGTTCAGATATCCATTCTCTCTCTTTCTCTCTCTCTCTGTATATATGGAGATACAGATATAGAGACAGACAGACAGCCGGGCGCGGTGGTTCACGCCTGTAATCCAAACACTTCGGGAGGCCGAGGCGAGCAGATCACTTGAGGCCAGGAGTTTGAGACCAGCCTGGCCAACAGAGTGAAACCCTGTCTCCACTATAAATTAAAAAATTAGCCAGGCATGGTGGTGCACGCCTGTAATCCCAGCTACTCCAGAGGCTGAGACAGGAGAATCGCTTGAACCCTGGAGGTGGAGGTTGCAGTGAGCCGAGATCTTGCTACTGCACTCCAGCCCCGGGTGACAGAGTGAGACTCTGTCTCAAAAAAAAAAAAGATAGATGTGTACACACACACACACACACACACACACACACGTGCATACACCTAGGAGTGGAACTGTAAAATTTCTGGGACACAGGGAATGTGAAGCTTCAACTTCACTGATATTATTGCTCCCAATGTTTTTGAATCCCTTCACAAGCACAGTAAGAACGTTTAAGGACTCTTCTGCTCCATATATTGTACAGCATTTGGTCTTGTAAAGTTTTTTTGAGGGTCTTGTTGTGTCACCTAAGCTGGAGTGCAGTGGTGTAGTCATGGCTACACCTCACTGCAGCCTCAAACTCCCAGGTTCAAGTGATCCTCCCATCTCAGCCTCAGTAGCTGGGACTACAGGCAGGTGCCACCACACCTGACTATTTTTTAAATTTTTTGTAGAGACGGGGCTTTGCCATGTTGCCCAGGCTGGTCTCGAACTCCTGAGCTCAAGTAATCTGCCCACCTCAACCTCCCAAAGTGCTGGGATTACAGGTATGAGCCACCACACTGGCATGTACAATTTTTTAATGTTTACTCAACTGCTGTGTGTGAAACCATATTGTGGTATTAACCTGTACTTCACTGATTATTAGTGAGGTGAGTGCCTTTTAATATGTTTATTAACCACGTGGGTTTCTTTTTGGCAAGCTTTCTGTTTATAACCCCTACCCATATTTTGTATGGTTTTGCTTTCTTTCCTCATTGATTTATAAGTGTTCTATAGATGAGCTACTTCTAATCCCCTGCTGATCATAAGGCACCAAAATGTATTCTCCCAATCTGGGACTTGTCTTTCCTCTTTTGCAGGAACAACTTTTAAGTTTTAATGTAAATTTATGGGTCTTTTCCTGTATAGCTTATGCTTTTCACTGACTCCAGGTGGCTTTAATCCTCTCAAAGTTTATTTTTGTTATTGGATATGGCAGAGATCGAAGTTTATTTTTTCCAATCAGATAAGCAATTTCCCGAAGATCATCCCCTCATTCACAATCCCACCTCCGCATTCTATCAACATTCTATTTATGAGTGGGTCTGAGTCTAGGCTCCCTGTTCTGTCTAGTTCTGTCACATTACCACACTGTCTTAATTACTGTTGTCTTAAAATAAAGTGATGACATCTGCTAAGATGACTCCTCCTGACTCTGTTCTTATTCAAAATTGTTTTTGCTATTTATGAGCTTTTACTTTTCCATATGAATTTTAGGATCAGCCTCCAAGTTTCACTAGAAAAACTCTGGAATTACATAGAATTTATTAATTTGATAAAAACACAACACTGAATCTTCCCATCATTCGTGAGCATGGTATATCTCTCCATTAATTTAGGCTTAATGTCACTCAATGAAGTTTTAAAATTTCCTCCATAAAGATCTTAATTTTTTATTTTTTCCTAGATAAATTTATAGTCTTGTAAATGGCATTTTTTTCTCCAATTACATTGTGCAATTACTGCTAGTCTATTGCAATTACAAGTGATCTATTGCAATCGCAATTATCGATTGCAATTGATAATAATGCAATTATTTTTTGTACACTGAAATCTTATGTCTAGCAATCTTGCTGTATTCTGTAACTGCTTCTATAGATTCTCTTGGATTTCTTATAGAGACATTTAGATCATCTGCAAAAAAAAATCATCATTTTGCTTTTTTTCTTTCCTGTCTTTACACTTCATTTCTTTTTCTTGGTTATTGCGTTGTCCAGGAACTCCAGTAAAAAATGTATAACAGAAGCTGCGATAATGGACATTTCTGTCCTGTACTTGTCTTTAAAGAGAATACTTCTAACATTTCACCATTAGATTCTATTAATTTTGGGTTAATATCCTCTGTCAAGATAAATAAATTCCCTTCTATTCTTAGTTTGTTAAAAGATTTTATTATAAATAGACGCTGTCTTGTCAAATATTTTTTACATCTATTAAGATAGTTAAGTTTTTTCTTAATCTATTAATATGGTAAATACATGAATAGATTTCCTAATGTCAAATCATATAAGAAGACACAGGATAAACTCTACTTTGTCTAAACTTGAAAAAAAAAATCATTACTGGATTTCATATCATATTTTATTATTTTTATGCCTGTGTTCATAATAAAATAACCAATTTCCCTTTTCCTGAAGTTCCTACCTGGGGTTAATCTTAAGGTAATAACCTGAAAAAATGAGTTAAGAAGCACTCACCTTTTAAAACTCTCTAAACAACCTAAATACAGAGAGAACTATCTGTTTCCTAAAGGTTTGGTAAAATTGTTATAAAACTATCTGGGCCCAATTTTTAAAAACGACTAATTTCTTTAATGCTTATAAGTATTAGATCAGATTTTAATTTATTCTATAGCCATTTTTGATGAGATCTATTTTCCTTGGAAAATTTCCACTACATCTAAGTTTTCAAATGTATCAGTCATCCATAGCATTCTGCTTCTTTATCTAAAAAAGAGACAATGGATTTGCTCCTGGTTTAGTCATGTTTCTTCTCTTATGGCTCTTGAGGTCAAAGGCTAAAGGATACAATGACATTCTTAATCATAAGAGTTTCCACTTATTAAGCACCCACTGAATACACATACTTTTCCAACAACCTTATGTGGTAGGTACTGTTATTATCCTTATTTTATAGAAGAGAAAACTGAGGCCCAGAGAGGTGAAGGAACTTGGCTAGGGACAACAGGAAGCAAGGGGACAGATCCAGCATTCGAGCCGAGGCCTGAGTGACTCTAGAGAGCAGCTTTTCCTACTCTTCTGTATCCTCTATGCATGAGGCATGGGCACAGGTAGGAACAGATGCTTCCTGCCTACACTGGAAGGTCCCTGACCTCAGTTTCATGAACGTCATTCACAAAGCAATGGTGGGAAGTGAAGAGACATTCACATCACCAATGTCAGTGGTTCAGGCTCCTTTCAAGTCCCTATGGCATAAATATATAAAGGCATAAAAAATACTTAAAGAAAATGCACCCAAATGTTCTTTCACGCATTGATGGTGGGAAAATTACATATGAGTAAAATTTTATTTCCTTATTCTTACCTTTCCATAGTTTCCTATGTATACTTTAATCATCAGAAAAACATAACAAAATATTATTTTTTTGTTTTTGAGACAGAGTCTCGCTCTGTCATCAGGGCTGGAGTGCAGTGGCGCCATCTTGGCTCACTGCAGCCTCCACCTCCCAGGTTCAAGCGATTCTCTTGCCTGAGCCTCCCGAGTAGCTGGGACTACAGGTGCCCCCCACCATGCCTGGTTAATTTTTGTATTTTTAGTAGAGATGCGGTTTCACCATGTTGGCCGGGCTGGTCTTAAAACGCCTGACCTCAAATGATCCACCTGCCTCAGCCTCCCAAAGTACTGGGATTACAGGTGTGAGCCACTGTACCCAACCCAAAACATTATTTTTTAAGAGTAGACTAAAAATTACTCAAAGGCAGTGACCCCTCCTCTTTCCTAGAGCTACCCAGACTTCGAATGGTGCCTGGCAAGTAGTAGGTACTTACTAAATGACCATTAAAAAGACCAGAAGGAAACACATCAAAATGTTAAGCAATTTGTCATCAGAGTATGGGAATAGGAATTATTTTTTCTTTATTCCATGCTCCTTTATTTTCTGAAGTTTCTATATCCTATTACTCTTATCATTGGGATAAATTAGTCTTATTTGAAGAAAAATACTATGAAGTAGTTTCCAACACATTAATTTCTTTTTCTTCAGTGAAGACCTTGTTCTTTTTTTTTTGAAGATGGGGTTTCACTTGGTCACCCAGGCTGAAGTGCAGTGGTGCCATCACGGCCCACTGCAGTCTCAACCTCCCAGGCTCAGGTGATCCTTCCTGCCTCAGCCTTCAGGTAGCTGGGACTACAGGCATGTGCCACCATGCCCGGCTAATTTTTGTATATTTTGTAGAGATGGGGTTCTTCAACTTCTGGGCTCAAGCAATCCTCCCTCCTTGGCCTCCTAAAGTGCATGAGCCTCCGCACCTGGCAAAACCTTGTTCCTTAGACTAGGTTTTTTTTTTTTTTTTTTTGAGACAGAGTCTCGCTCTGTCACCCAGGCTAGAGTGCAGTGGTGCGATCTCGGCTCACTGCAAGCTCCGCCTCCGGGTTCACACCATTCTCCTGTCTCAGCTTCCAGAGCAGCTGGGACTACAGGCGCCCGCCGCCACGCACGGCTAATTTTTCTTTTTTTTTTAGTAGAGACGAGGTTTCACCATGTTAGCCAGGATGGTCCTGATCTCCTGACCTCGTAATCCTCCTGCCTTGGCCTCCCAAAGTACTGAGATTACAGGCGTGAGCCACCACACCCAGCCTAGACTAGGTCTTTAGAAGGAGAATTAAGGATGGGCTTTGGTTCTGGTGGAATCTGCTGGGAGGACCCGGGTGGTACTGCGTCTGAGCCACCGGACTTGCCTGTCTGAATATTTCTGGGAAGTCATAGATGTAGGTAGTTCCCAGGGACTGGGCCTGGAATCGCTTGGCCTGGAGCAGATCCTTGGTGACGTAGGGAGTATTGATCAGCATCCCGTGCTGGGGCCCTTGCTTGTTGCCAAAGGAGTGAAACATGATCTGGATCAGAAAGGAAGGAAAACAGAGAGTGAGAGAAAATCACACTACTCCCCCAATTTATTTCTGCCCAGTCCTCAATGAAAATGCAGATGGGGGAAGCAAAGCAGGTCGCATGGCATAACAAAGTGAGTGCCTGCGCTAGGTAAAACTCTCTTCTTCACTACTGCGGAGAACCAGAACAAGAAGGGACAATAGGGGCTGCCAATACACAGTTCCAAAAATACAGCGATCAGGGCATCACACACTCCCAACAAACAGGCGTTCATGGAAACACTGGTGATATCCGAATGTGGTCCATGTTGGTGTGAACAGTCCTGTGCCAGTGTCAATTTCCTGTTTTGATCACGTACAATGGTGAAGTTCAACATTAACATTGGGGGAAACTGGGTGAAAATCCTCTGCACTATTTTTTTTTCCCTCTGTACTAATTTTGCAACTGCTTGCGAGTCTTCAGTCTTCAATTATTCCAAAATAAAAAGTGCATAGCCAGGCACAGTGGCATGTGCCTATAGTCCCAGCTACTTGGGAGGCTGAGGCCAGAAGATTGCTTGAACTCAGGAGTTCAAGCCCAGTCTTGGCAATATCTCTTTAAAAAATGGCATGTATATATACATATATATTTATGTACACACATATGAATTTAACTGGCAGTCAAAAGAATATTTAATTCACTTTACAAAAGTCCGAGAACATGGTTGGGAAAAGTATTTCCCTAAGTGAACCAATCTAAGGACTGCATTATAGTCAACCATAGCAGTGTACAACTTATCCCAAATACGGCCACATGGCCAGGCGCGGTGACTCATGCCTATAATCCCAGCACTTTGGGAGGTCAAGGTGGGCAGATCACTTGAAGTCAGGAGTTAGAGACCAGCGTGGCCAATATGGTGACACCTCATCTCTATCAAAAATCCAAATACGGCCACAGAATGGATTAAACTTGGAGATTCACTCTCCTTCTTAGGTGAATGAAAAACCAAGATTCAAAGGCTAACACATTTAACATAACACTCAGAGGGGGGCTACCCCAACCCAGAATGACAAGGCAGAGAAAGGCAAGACCGCCTCCAAACGCCTTCTTAATCTACAAATGGATGGCCCAAGCAGCCTGCTTCTGCTTTGACTTAGACCCCCATGGCACGAGCCAGCCTTACATTTCCGGATCTGGAGTCAGTCACTTCTTTGTAGAGGCTGATGTCCAGGTAGTAGCCCGACTCATTGGTGATGAACAGGCGGATGGGAACAGCGCTGCCGGTGGTGGTCTGGCGTATGTTGATCTTGACTTCAGCCTGCAGCACGCGGAGTTTCCACAACCGGCTGCCATAGCGCATAACCATGGAGCGCACGGACTCCTCGATCTGCCCGAAAACACAGCAATTCCAGTTTCAGGGCCCAGACATCCCAAGGACATTTGCAATAGCACTGGTACTAATAAGAGGATGAGATATACTGACTGCAAAAACGCCTGGGACATAGTATGTATCCAACAAAAAGTTTAATAACAAGCAACGGCTCTTGCTGAGCGTTTAAAACTCTTTACCTCACTGCGCCCTTGTAAGTACTCAAGAGAGGCGAGCTTTTTTATCCCTAATTGACAGATAAGGAAACTGAGGCTGATAAGTGACTAAGCTAGTACTGCTACGTTATATTATCTTTACATGTCTTTGACTCAAGCCATTGAACTGCTTCCTTCTGGAACTACGTGAACTAGTGAGGCCAGAGCAGCCGCATGGGTTCCCTGAATCCCCCAGACACCAAACGGATGTATCAGAACTTCTCTTTTTAATAATATTATTGTATTAATTATTTTAATAATATTAAATAATAAAATAAAATATATCATGTAATTTATATATGTTGATTTTATTATCAATATTAATTTTATTAATTTTATTATTTTATTTTTTAATTTTTAAAATTTTTAGTAGAGATGGGGTCTCTCTATGTTGCCCAGGCTTCTCTTAAATTCCGGGGCTCAAGCAATCTACCCACCTCAGCCTCCCAAAGTACTGGGATTACAGGCGGGACTTGTTTCATTCCAGAATCACCACCATAAAAGTCTGTCTGCTCGTGAAGAGCCACCTGACAGGGAACACTCAGCCACAGACCTCACGGTCTCACGCCTCTCCCCACCCACATGCAGTCCCCAGTGCAGCCTGGAACTAGGGAAAAGACAAACGTTTGTTTTGCAAGACATTTTGAGCATCCTTGTCGTCCTTAAAGCAAAGCACTCACGTGCAGGGCATGGCTAAAACATAGCTCTGGAATTGAATGGCAGAAGGTTTGTTCTCCTCCTGCAGCAACCGAAGCTCAAAAAAGCATGGATTCGTCCTGGAATCCAGGTCTCGAGTGGCAGGACACAATACCCTGAATCAACATGGCTCAGAGGGTAAACCCAGAGCCCGGTGAGAGCCCCCCGGCAAAGGCGAGACCTTCAAGGGGTCCATGATGACAGTGGGCACGAAGTTGAGGAAGATGTGGTTGCAGTCGGTGCGCACGCTGGTGTTGTTGAACGCCACCTCCAGCTCGTCCATGGCCTCCAGGAGCAGCCGCTCACCCTCGTTCTGCAGGTACTCGAAGGAGGCTTCCTGCCAAAGGGCGGGAGGGGCAGCAGCTCAGGCCAGGGGTGCAGGTCCACTCCCAACTGGCAGGAAACTCAGCCCCAAAGAGGCAGAGGCAGGAGGAAAACATTCCCCTCCTCCAAAAAGTGTGCCAGGCAAGAACAGCAGAGCCCTGCCTCTTAGAGGCGAAGGGACTGCAAAGCTGTTGAGTGTATTGACATGTGTCCTATTTTCTGCATTCTGACACTTTGACACCTAGGGCCTTGCTGACCCTGGATCACCACCTGCCCTAATTACCCAGGGCCAGATGCCTGAGAACTAGAGACAGCTTCTACACCCCAGGGTCTGCTGAGATGATTCACAGCCAGTCCTAAACCTGTTTACTCAGCCTCACCCTTTTCTTCTCCAGGAAACCAAGATCAAGGCTCTCACCCATGTCTTCCGTGTCTTCCCTTCCGTCCCTCTGCTGCCTGACCAACCCCAGAGCCTCCCCATGTGGCCTCGTGGCAGGGACAGCCCCTTCATCTTGGGAACTGTGAGTAAGAAACTGTCTTTTTGATGGCAGTTTTCTCCTGAGCTGTTGGCCTCACCATACCTCAACAATAATAAAACCTATCAAAACAGCTTGACCAGGTGCAATGGCTCACACCTATAATCCCAGCACTTTGGGAGGCCGAGACGGGTGGATCAGTTGAGGTCAGGAGCTCAAGCCAGCCTGGTCAACATGGTGAAACCCCGTCTCCACTAAAAATACAAAAATTAGCTGGGCATGGTGGTAGGCACCTGTAAACCCAGCTACTCGGGAGGCTGACACAGGAGAATCGCTTGAACCTGGGAGGCAGAGGTTGTAATGAGCTGAGATCGCGCCACTGCATCCAGCCTGGGTGACAAGAGCAAAACTCTGTCTCAAAAAAAAAAAAATAAATAAATAAATAAATAAAACATCTAGTTGACTGAGGTAGCAAAAAACTGCAGGTAGCTTAATATCCATCAACAGGGCTGGGCGCAGTGGCTCACGCCTGTAATCCCAGCATTTTGGGAGGCTGAGGTGGGCGGATCACCTGAGGTCAGGAGTTTCAGACCAGCCTGACCAACATGGAGAAACCCTGTCTCTTCTAAAAATACAAAATTAGCTGGGCACTGTGGCACACACCTGTAGTCCCAGCTACTTGGAAGGCTGAGGCAGGAGAATTGCTTAAACCTGGGGGCGCAGAGGTTGCAGTGAGCCGAGATCGCGCCATTGCACTCCAGCCTGGGCAACGAGAGCAAAACTCCGTCTCAAAAATATATATGTGTGTGTGTGTGTGTGTGTGTATCCATCAACAGGGGATTAGTAAAAGAAAAACAAAAACAAAAAACAACAATTACACACGGTACATTCGTGCAAGGAAATAACATGGGGTGGACCATTCTTTATTAACAAGGAAGAGGTCCACAAGTAACTGACCAATTAAAGAATAACATATTCAAATGATCTGTCCACTCTGAGCTCTGATCTGCAACTTATGCCTACAACTCTAGGTTTTAGGGATGGGATTATGTCTAGAAACAGTCAACAATTGAGCTGGCCCCTCAGTGACAGGATTTTGGGTCCATGCACTAGAGGTTCTTAAAAACAGTTTTCAGTCTTATTTAAAATTTTCACAATATAATCATGGATTACTTTTCTTTATTTCTTTATTTCTTTTTTTTTTTTAAGAGGATCTCGCTGTATCCCCCAGGCTGAAGTACAGTGGCTCCATCTCAGCTCACTGCCACCTCCACCTCCCGGGTTCAAGCAATTCTCATGCCTCAGCCTCCCGAGTAGCTGGAATTACAGGTGTATGCCACCATGCCCAGGTAATTTTTGTCTTTTTAGTAGACACAGGGTTTCACCATGTTGGCCAGGCTGGTTTTGAACTCCTGACCTCAGGTGATCCACCCACCTCAGCCTCCCAAAGTACTGGGATTACAGGCATGGGCCACTGTGCCCAGCCATGAATTAGTTTTCTAAATGCAAGAAACAATGGAAAATGATCACTCAGTTGGCAAATATAAGAAATTCCCTGCACAAACCAGTATTTTTCTATCCTGAAATTTTCTTCTCATGCACAGAGATCCACATAATACAAGAAACAGATCCAAGTGCCACCAGCCTGGACGTGATCACAGGCCACTTTGCTGTCCGCCTCCTGCCCTGGACTGGAACATCACAAGGGCAGGACCCTGGGTGTCTGGTGTACTCTGCATCCCCAGTGTGCAGCCCAGGCCCCAGCACAGAGCAGGAGTGTGAGGAAGGGAGGGCCAGGTTCTGAGAGAGGAAGAAATGGTCTGCGACGTCTTACCTTTGTAATCAGGTCTGAGTGCCTGATGATGGCGCGGATGAAGAACCTATGGTCCGTCACTTCTGCCCCTTCCTTCACCTTGGCAGCACCCAGGTAAAGGTGCATCTTGTGGTTGGCACAGGGCACGGCGGTCAGATCGAAGTTACGCATCCGGCTGAGCTCCAGTTGGAAGGCCAGGGCAGGCTCCAAGTGACGGTAAATGCGATCTTCTGCAAACTGTAGGCGGACCAGAGAGAGAAGACAGACACGCATACATAGTTTGACATTGGAGCTGCGTACCTGCTTGGTCCACGCCCTACTCTGCAGACCCCTGGTGTCCATGGGTTTGGCACTCAGGAATGCAGCATTCATGATGTCCCTTAATTGTAAGCTGTGCCCAGGGCTCCAGATATTTGGGGTTTTGCTAAGATCTGAGGAGAGCTACAGGCACTGCAAGCCTGGTGTGCTGGGTGCAGCGCTGGCTCCTGGGGGAGCCTAGCTAGTCCGAATCACCTGCCAGCGTGACCAGGCTGTTCTCCATCTGTCACAGCCTGTGGCAATTCTTGTGAAGCCACTAACCCCTGGTTTCTTGGTGGAAATTGGTTTCCAAAAAGAAAACAACTGACAGTACTGGAAACTAAACTGAAAAAAAAAAGAAGACTTTAAGAAAAGGATGGGTCTTAGCTAGAAAAATACAGCTTTGGATAAATTAAAATGCAAAATGCTGAATTTGGTGGGGTCTTGAATCAGTGCTGGGAATAAACCTACCTGTTCTGCAACAGGGATTGGTGAACATTTTCTTAAATGGCCAGAGAGTAAATGTTTTAAGCTGATGGATCATACGGGCTCTGTCACAACTACTCAATTCTGCTACTGTTAGAGTGAAAGCCAGAGCAGACAATGTGGAATCAAATGGGTGTGGCCATGTTCCAATAAAACTTTGTTTGTAAAAACAGGCAGCTGGTCTGCAAGAGAGTTTGCCAGCCACTGTTCCAGAAGAGCATAAGAAAAAGAGTTTGGAAAAAAATGTCTTACTGAGTACATCAGCAAGTACTGAAATTATTCAAGCAAGACAGAAACCTGTAGTGAGGCTAAAAGGGCAAGATTCTCAGGTCTGAGGGCCATGCAGGGAACAGAGGGCTCTCAGTGGAAATACAATCCCAGAGGAAGACTGCAGTCTACACAAAAGTTGCTACATTCTTGAATATGGGGATGCCTGAAGGACTGCAGACTTTATTCTTCATGAATATCAAAGATGCCAGGGAGCTGGGAGGCACAGTGGCATGTGCCTATAGTCCCAGCTACTTGGGAGGCTGAAGCAAGAGGATCACTCGAGCCTATCAGTTTGAGTCCAGCCTGGGCAACATAGTGAGACCCTATCTCTTTTTTTTTCTTTTCTTTTTTTTTTGAGACAGAGTCTCACTCTGTCACCCAGGCTGGAGTGCAATGGCATCATCTTGGCTCACTGAAACCTCTACTTCCCAGGTTCAAGCAATCCTCCCACCTCAGCCTCCCAAGTAGCTGGGACCACAGGCTTGCACCACAATGCCAGGCTGATTTTTTTTTTTTTTTTTTGAGAGGGAGTCTCACTCTGTTGCCCAGACTGGAGTGCAGTGGCTGGATCTCAGCTCACTGCAAGCTCCGCCTCCCGGGTTTACGCCATTCTCCTGCCTCAGCCTCCTGAGTAGCTGGGACTACAGGCATGTGCTGCCATGCCTGGCCAATTTTTGTATGTTTTGTAGAGACAGGGTCTCACTATGTAACCCAGGCTGATCTAGAACTCCTGAGCTCAAGCAAACCTCCTGCCTCAGCCTCCCAAAGTGCTAGGATTATGGGCATAAGCCACCACGCCCGGGCCCCATCCCATCGCTTAAAAAATTTAAAAAGATGCCAGAGAAGAGAAAACATCATTACTTTTGGCCATACCTCATCTCTTGCTCTGAATGTGAAAAACTTGGGAAATTCTTTCTGCAAAAAGAAATCCACACACAAGACAATTAAATCAAGCAAGATGCATTGAAATATTTACATACTTATTTAGTGATTGTAAATGATTACATTCACTTCTAGAATGAATCATTTGGAAATCCTTCTGTTTTCTAATGATTGATCTCTTTCACCCAAATCTACAAAATAAATATCAAATAAATGGCACACACCAAGGCTTGGAGAATGGAAAAGACTCACAGGGATGAACTGTGAACTAACCTCTTGGGCAATCAGGAATGTGATTCGTCGGAGTCCGTAATCCACAAGGATATTTTTCTGCATTAAAAACCAAAGACACAATGGAATATTATTTGGCCATAAAAAGAACTGAAGTATTGCTGCATGTTACCACACAGATGAACTGGTAAACATTATGCTAAGTGGAAGATGTCAATCATAAGAGACCTCCTGTGGTCTGATTCCATTTATATGAAACGTCCAGAAGAGGCAAATCTACAGAGACAGAAAGTAGATGAGTGGTTGCCTGGGGCTGTGGTGGGGAGAGGGTTTTGGGTCGGGGACAGAGGGGAGTGACTGCTAACAGGTACAGGGTTTTTCTATGGAGTGATAAGAATGTCCTAAAATTGATTCTGGTGATGGTTGTGCAACCTGGTGAATATACTAAAAATATACTAAATTGTACACTTTTTTTCTTATTTCTTCTTAAAAAAAAACAAAAACGGGACACATGTGCAGAACGTGCAGGCTTGTTACACAGGTATCTATGTGCCATGGTGGTTTGCCGCACCTACTGACCTGTCCTCTGAGTTCCCTCCCCTCGCCCCCCACCCCCTGACAGGCTCCGGTGTGTGATGTTCCCCTCCCTGTGCCCATGTGTTCTCAGTGTTCAGCTCCCACTTATGAGTGAGAACATTTAGTATTTGGTTTTCTGTTCCTGTGCTAGTTTGCTGAGGATGATCGCTTCCAGCTTCATCCATGTCCCTGCAAAGGACATGATCTCATTCCTTTTTATGGCTGAACATTGCACACTTTAAATGGGTGAATTGTGTAGTATGTCAATGATGTCTCAATAAAGCTGTTATTTAAAAGATAATTTAAAAATATCACATTGTATATTGTAAATATATATAATTTTTTTTGAGACAGGGTCTTGCATTGTATATTGTAAATATATATAATTTTTTTTGAGACAGGGTCTTGCTCTGTCCCCCAGGCTGGAATACCACAGGCTTACAGAGCAACCTGCTGTTATTGGCACACTTGGTCATCGATCTAAGTAGCCATTTTAAAACTGCCATTTTCTGGATTATTCCAACAAAAACATTCCCAGAAAATCTCCCAACTATTTATTGGGTGTGCCCTCTGTACCTGGGACTGGCTAAGTCGTGAATATACCTTGTCATCGAATCACTGCAACACCATGAGTGAGAGAAATGCTCCCCCCACGTTCAGCCACATCTGCCCAAGGTCGCCAGCTACGAGGCGAGCAGAGCTAGAGTAGGAAGCCAGGTCTGTGGCTCTGAAGTGCTCAGCAGGTCTGCCTCCCCAGGGGCCGCCTCAACGAGCCTAGCCCCTCCTCCTTCTCCAAGAACCTCTACCAAAACCAGAGCCTTGCCCAGAGTACCTTGGACTGTACGAACGTCCGTAAAATCGGCACCAGTGCCTCATCCTCCAGGTGGTCTGCACACTGGATGGACACATTCAGAATGTGGATGGGGTCTTCTCTGAGGCTCTGAGAGGGAGAAGCAAGGGGTAGGGCTGGAAAGCCTGGGGGCCACGGCCCACCCGCTCCCTGGGTTGCTCCCCAGGGTTAGACGCTTACCTTGCAGTCATCCTCGGAGTACAGGGAGGTGCGGGCCTCGCTGAAGAGGGGGGTGTCTTTGGGCACGTTGGCAAAGCAAGAGATGACTTCATCAAAATTTCTGGGGGTGAGGGTAGAGAGGGAGGGCTGAGGGGCTGCTGACCCATGGGGAAGAGGTCAAGCTTCCAACCCAGGCAGCAGGGAGCGCCAGCCCCTCCCAGTTTCCCAGCCAACACCCTTTGATCTTATCCAACTCTCCAGAGCTCAGGAGGTTCCCGTCTACTATGTCCAAAGCACCCGTGAGGGGGTCCTTCCCAAAACGGAAGAATGAACCTAAGTGATCTGTGATCAGGAATACAGGGAAGGATTCCAACGCTTTCGGGCATCAGCTGGGCTTGGATCAACTCTTGGCTCCCATTTTTACTGGCTGGGAGATCCTAGAAACCTCACCTCACCCCTGAGTCAAAGAAAGGTAATAAGAGTAATCCCTATGACTCATGAGGCTGTTGTGAAAATTCCACAAGATACTCCAAGCACAAAGCAAAACACATGGTGAAGGGCTGAAAACAGACCAGTACAGTAACTATCGAGAGCTAACATTTAGTCACTATTCTATCTGCATACCAATTATACTTTAAATATGTTATTTCACACATACTCTCTCATTTAATCCTCATGGCGTCCCTATGAAGTGGGTCCTTTATCGTTCCCATTTTACAGACGAGAAAGCGAAGGTATGGAGAGGTTAAGTATTTTGCTCAGTCTCTCAGTTAGAAAGCACAGAGCCAGAATTCAAACCAGCAAGCTGACATGCAGGCTCACACTCTTGGCTACGATGCTATTATTGTTCTGTTGTTATTGACGCGCTGTGCCATGTGTCTGGGTCTCTCCCACCCCATCTGTCCAGTGAATGGCTGGGGGGATTCAAGGGAAGCCTGCCCAGCCCCCATGCTCAGGGTGTTTGGGAGACCGGGCCACGCTGGGTACCTGGTGAAGTCCTCGAATCTCCTGAAGGCTACCATGGCCCCCATGCGCTGGCATAGTGGGGAGAAGCCGCTGTCCATGAAGAGCTCTGTGCTGTGCCTCAGCAGGTCAGGGTTGGTGATGCTGATGGGCACGGTCATCCTGTAGGGTGATGGCAAGTGGGGGATGAGGCAGCTGCTTGCAGACCCAACGCTATGAGCTGTTCCTGCTCCTGAAGTTTCAGTGAGCTGGACCAGATTTAGAGCTCTTCCAAAGCGGGGCTTAAAATGGGCAGGGGATAAGACAATGGCTGGGGCTGGGGCCTGAGGAGGGTCTCATCTGATCCCTCAGGACCTGGTGAAGAGTAAGAGCTCAACAAATGTAGGAATCAATGATGCATGCATGAGAGTCCAGTCCCAACACAGTCCCAAGGGGAGCCCGAAGTGCTGAACTTGACCACGGAGAAGAAATACTCCCAGCATCGATTTCTCCTGGAGAAATCCACCAGCCCCAGGCAGCTGGTGAGTGAGTCAGGTTGTTCCTGACAGACACTCCAGTCCTCTGCTCCCTCTAATCCCTCCCCCTCCATCAAACTTGTCCTTGAGACAAAGTCAGCAGCCTTCTGGAGTTTAGACGATGATGCTCCCAGAACTGGATGCTCACCAGCAGCAAATCTCAATGGGCCACCTGAGGTTGTTAGAATTGGGCCTTGGAATCAGCTACCGGAGAGGTAATCATATGGTGTGCAGGAAGTCAACACAGCAGGCCCCACGCTGCTCTTCTGAGAAAGTAGACCTGCTTGCCCTTGGCTGGCATCTGGGAACTTGGACTTGGGGAAGGTTCCTATCATTCCCTGAAGGTGACAAGGGTGGCTCACTGCGCCTCCCGTTTGCACAAACAGTGTGGTTTATGCTGAACACCTTTCTTCTGCAAGCCTGAGATTTTGATGCAGGACAGAGGGTGGTGTGACCAGCCACCAATCCCTGGTGCAGAGCTGGAAGACAACCCCTCACTTGTGTTGTCACAACTCCTTGCTGGGGGAATGAAGTGCGCCCTGCATGAGTCCACTGGGAGAGGACCCTGGCAGCGCACTTGCTTTCCTCTGGACTTCACCCTGATGCCTTCTGCCTTGGCTAACCGCTTGGTATCCTTGCCCCCTAACGAGTCAGAGCTATGAGCATGACCACGTCCTAAGACCTGTGAGTTCTTCTAGGCAATGATCGAACCTGGGGGTGCTTTTGGGGATCCTGACACAGGTGTGTGCCTTCCTGTTGGGTGCTCTGAAATCATGATCATGGCCCCTCTGCTCCCCGACAGCTCAATCCAGGGGTCACAAACTTGCAGTGGCAGTGTGGCTGAATGCCGCTCACAGAATGACTTTGGGCCATGCAGCATTTTAATAACATACATGAATTAACATGCATTCATGTATTAATTTAACATGAACCACCTGTCCCCATTGAAAAATGGAAGGACTTCAGGTCAAAAAAAAAAAAAAAAAAAATAGATTTCCTGCTTCTGCTGGAAAAAAACAATGAGAAGTCTGGTTATGATGGGTCAGTTTCCTGCAGGGCAACAGTGGGGAGAGCTAGGACAGCAGCCCCATAGCAGGGGGATGTAGCCAGTTCCCACCCAGCGCAGAGGTCCAGGCTGCAGCTGGCACAAAGCCCTGCCAACCTCTCACCTGACCTTCCCTTGGGTCTTGGTGACCTAAAGCACCACGTGCCTGGCCCTACACACACAGGTGTTGAGGGCCAAGCTGGGCCGTCTTGGGGGTAGACTTTATTCCCCATGGCTCTTTACGGAGGCATCAAAGCGCTGGGTGGTGGGCACACCCACAGGCAAGGTCTCTTCACAGGCCCAAAATACATTTCTGGCACTGACAGCAATTGTGAGAATCTTAGATGGCGAGGAATCCCCAGGGTCCTCAATGTCTCTCTGGGTCAAAAAAGGACCCTGTGCCCATACTGAAAATCACAACCAATAACCTGGGTATACATGTAGATCACAAGGCATGACCCACAGCCCTCAGAAGAGCCGCCCTTCCCTTCCTAACAGGGCTGAATTGCTGAGACAATAAGATCAAAAGAGAAGGCCAGGCACAGGGACTCGCGCCTATAATCCCAGCACTTTGGGAGGCTGAGGCAGGAGGATCACTTGAATCCAGGAGTTCAAGACCAACCCGGGCCACATAGTGAGACCCCCATCTATGCAAAAAAAATATTTTTAAAGAATTAGCCAGGTGGGGTGGCGCAAGCCTGTAGTCCCAGCTACACAGGGAGCTGAGGTGGGAGGATCACTTGAGCCCAGGAGTTCAAGGCTGCAGTGAGCTATGATCATGCCACTGCTCTCCAGCCTGTTTAGACTCTGTCTCTAAACAACCAAACAAAAAAATCAAAAGAGAAAAGAATTCCTTCTCAGGAGTAGACAGCTACAAAATATCTTATACCACCACTGCTCCCCAAATCCCCAGAATGACCCCAGGCTGCAAGCAGTCAGTCCCCTTTCTCTCAATGGGGTAAAATGTCACAATCCTATTTTTGGAAATAAGAAGGGTAAAAACAACTAGGAAAGGCAGTGCCTCCTGGGGAAGCCCCCTTGTCTTCATCCAAAACATGGCAGCATCTTTCTTCTTAAAACCAACAGGAAAAGAAAGTTAGTTTAAAAATCCCAAGAGGCCAGAAAAATCCCTGCTTCACCAAAGCATGAACCCTATTGCCTGTACAGATCTGATCAACCGAACTCCCAAATCACAATGACATCACTGCAGCCATAGGCAAGGCCTTGGGCACCCCCATAAGAACCAAAACCAGAGGGGCGAGGGAGCGTGAGAGAGAACGCTTTGAATCCCAGGGAGACATAATTACTTTAAGAGAAGGTATCGTACTCTACCTGACCTAAATGGTATTAATACTTTGGGTCCTGAAACAAGATGGATTGAAAAAAAGACTGTGAGTGAGGAACTCAGACACATCTGCTATTCTTAGGTGAGCCAGGCATAGTGGCGCCTGTAATCCCATCACTTTGGGAGGCCGAGGTGCACAGATCATTTGAGGTCAGGAGTTCCAGACCAACCTGGTCAACACGGTGAAACCCCATCTCTACTAAAAATACAAAAAAAACTATTGGGGCTTGGTGGTGCATGTCTGTGGTCCCAGCTACTTGGGAGGCTGAGACAGGAGAATCGCTTGAACCCAGCAGGCGGAGGCTGCAGTGAGCTGAGATCGCGCCATTGCACTCCAGCCTGGGTGACAGAGTGAGACTCCATCTCAAAAAAATTAAAAAAAAGATATTCTCAGGTGAGAACACTGAGGGGATCTACTGAACTACAGCTCTTGGACAGCAGACTACAGTGGGCACAGACAGGACAGTGTGGGTGCCTCCGCACCTGGCTCAGAGGGCTGCTGAAGGCTGTGGAAAGGAATTGGAGGTGAGAGTGTGGCCTGGGCTCAAATTCCCACTCCACATGTACGAGCAGCTCAGCCTAGGTCAGGTGACGGCCCTGGGCCCCCATCTGTAAAATGAGGATGAGAACACATTTTTGGCCGACAGAGGATAAGAACTGAATAAAATAAGAGTGTGGACTAGGCACCATGGCTCACGCCTATAATCCTAGCATTTTGGGAGGCAGAGGCAGATGGATCACCTGAGGTCAGGCGTTCAAGACCAGCCTGGCTAACATGATGAAACACCATCCCTACTAAAAATATAAAAATTAGCCAAGCATGGTGGTGCGTGCCTGTAGTCCCAGCTACTCGGGAGGCTGAGGCAGGAGAATCGCTTGAATCTGGGAGCTGAGATTGTGCCACTGCACTCCAGCTTGGGCAACAGTGCGAGACTCCATCTCAAAAAAAAAAAAAAAAAGAGAAAAAAAAGAGTGTGGGAGCGCTGAGCAGAGCGCCCAGGCCAACGGCATGCCACTAGATGGCAATAACAGAGTTAGTCATGGTCATCCCCGGGATCACTCACAGTCAACAACTTGCTTTGTGCCAGGCACTGTCTAAAATGCTACCTGTGCCTATCTCATGACTCTTCCCAATGGCTTGGGTGGCACTGTCCACTAGAACTTTCTACTATGACAGAATGTTCTAGAACTCCACTATCACATAATATGGCAGTCATGAGCCACACGGTATGACTGAGAAGCTGAAATCATTTTTTTTTTTTTTTTTGAGACAGAGTCTCGCTTCTTCACCCGGGCTGGAGTGCAGTGGGGAAATGTCGGCTCACTTACTCCACCTCCCGGTTCAAGTGATCCTCCTGCCTCAGCCTCCCCAGTAGCTGGGATTACAGGCATGTGCCACCACACCTGGCTAATTTTTGTATTTTTAGTAGAGACGGGGTTTCACTATGTTGGCCAGGTTGGTCTGGAACTCCTGACCTCAAGTGATCTGCCCGCCTCAGCCTCCCAAAGTGCTGGGATGACAGGCGTGAGCCACCGTGCCCAGCGCATGTGCATTCATGTTAATGTAAATAGGCACACATGGCTACTGTACTGAACAGTGCAGGTGTAGGAGGTGGGCTCTGCATTATCACCATGTTAGAGGGGAGAAAAATGGCGCTGCAGGGAGCTCCCAGAGGGGAAGCGCTTATCGCTGATGTCTCCCCAGCAGCATGCCCAAACACACTTGCCAGGTCGTTCCAGAGACAGGACGACAGAGGTCAGGGAGAACAGAAACACAGGCCATCCCTGGGTGTGTCCCATTCCATACCGGTTTGGGTGGGAGGAGGGCAGCATGAACTGGAATTCTACCACGCAGGTGCCGTCCGGGAGCTGCCGGTGCTGCAGGCTGTTTAACTCATAGGCGATGTAGCCCCTCCGCACGTAAACCTGACAAGGCAGAAGCACACGGACGTTCTCTTAGGGGGCACTGCAGAGTGTCCTCAAAAGCTGAGGGCACTTACAGGGAAGGAGTACCAGAAATGACCTCTGAAAGGTCTATCTCTAGCAGGCCGGGTACAGTGGCTCATGCCTGCAAAAATTAGCTGGGCGTGTTGGAAAAACAAAACAAATCAACAAAAAACCCCAAAAGCATCCTAGAAAAATCTCTAATTGACACAAATAGTATTTAGCACTTTAAAAAGTCACTATAAACCAAGCATGGGGGCATGCACCCGTAGTCCCAGCTGCTGGGGAGGCTGAGGCAGGAGGATGGCTTGAGCCTAGAAGTTCAACTCCAGCCTGGGCAACATGGCAAGACCTGTCTCTAACAAAACAAAAACTGTTTTTAAAGTAACTACAGAAGAGGTGTATTAGGTCTCACTGTTAGAAACAAAGAGTGAGGCCTGAGAACGATTCTTTCAGAGGTGAAACCCATAGAAGGATAAAAGCTGCAGGCCCAGGAGACCCTGTGGCTGTAACACGCTAACAAGCCCAAGATGATCTCCATGAAGACCCAGTAAACCTTCTCACTGTGTGACTCACAGGCTCCCAAGGATGCAGAAGAGAAAGTGGGGGCAACAGAGGACTGAGACTGAGCTCAGAAGATAAAGAATATTGGGCCGGGCGCGGTGGCTCAAGCCTGTCATCCCAGCACTTTGGGAGGCCGAGGCGGGCGGATCACAAGGTCAGGAGATCGAGACCATCCTGGTTAACGCGGTGAAACCCCATCTCTACTAAAAATACAAAAAACTAGCCGGGCGAGGTGGCGGGCGCCTGTAGTCCCAGCTACTCGGGAGGCTGAGGCAGGAGAATGGCGTAAACCCAGGAGGCGGAGCTTGCAGTGAGCCGAGATCGCGCCACTGCACTCCAGCCTGGGGGACAGAGCAAGACTCCGTCTCAAAAAAAAAAAAAAAAAAAAAGAATATTGGAAAAACTACTGCCAGCAAAGCAGTCCCAGGTAAGAGGGCCATGTTTAAAACACAAGACATCATCTCATGTTTTCTTAAAAGGATTCTAAAAGGGCAGATTTACTGGGAGGCTGAGGCAGGCGGATCACTTGAGGTCAGGAGTTCCAGACCTGCCTGGCCAACATGGTAAAACCCTGTCTCTACTAACAATACAAAAATTAGCCAGGTGCGGTGGTGCACCCCTGTAGGCCCAGCTACTGGGGAGGCTGAGGAAGGAGAATCACTTGAAACCGGGAGGCAGAGGCTGCAGTGAGCTGAGATAGTGCCACTGTACTCCACCCTAGGCACCAGAGCGAGTCTCAAAATAATAATCATAATAAAAGAGCTGATTTAAAACTCCGATTTCCTGGAACCAACACAACACCTCTTGGTTCCTGAATTCAAGAAGACCTGAATTGTTGCTCCCAAGAGTAAGACCACCTGGATCACCTGGCTCTAATCTGGGTTTTGCTACCATCCACGCCCTTCTACCTCATCACTTGGGGGGCAGGGGGTTCACCTTAAGTTGTCACCTGGGTTCCTCTAGCTCTGGCGGTTCCAAGCAGAAAAGTCTTTCAAAGGTACTTAATGCACGTGAGTCAGAAAGTTTAGATGAGGTGCCTCAGACTTGGCTCTCAGGGATTAGTATTTAATGTGCCCTGCCTGGAAGAGGCTGGAATGACACATGAGACAGCAGTGGTGACTAGCATGGAATCTGGAATGAGACAGACCCAATAATGCAAAACCTGGTTCTGCCACTTTCTAGCTGTGTGACGCTGCATAAGTCGCTTCACCTCTCTGAGCCTCAGTTCCTTCCTCTGTAAGATGGGACTATTAACATACCTACCTTGTATAGACAAGGATAGGATCACATTCACAAGGCGTGTGGCCTAGGGTCAGGTGCATGGTGGCGGAAGTGAACAGAACTGGCACGGTCAGTGCTGTTCTCTGGGCCTCTCCTACTTACCTCCAAGGACGCCATGCACACAACTTTGTTAGCATGATAGAAGAAAGCAGGCAGGACGTCGAAGATGGTTGTTTCTGAAATTATTAACTTCTATGGGAAATGAAAAGGGGAAACAAGGAAAAGTAAATGTAAACAAGTTTCAGGTTTTTCTTTGTTTTTGTTTATTTGAGATAAGCTGGAATGCAGTGGTGTGATCATAGCTCTCTGCAGCCTCAAACTCCCAGCCTGAAGCGATCCTCCCACCTCAGCCTCTTGAGAAGATGGGACTACAGCGTGCGCCAACATGCCTGGCTCTTTTTTTGTTTGTTTGTTTGTTTGTATGTTTTGTAGAGACAGGGTCTCACTATGTTGCCCAGGCTGGCCTCAAATTCCTGGGCTCAAGTGATCCTCCAGTCTTGGCCTCCCGAGTGCTGGGATTACAGGCATGAGCCATCCGCGCCCAGTCAGTGAGTAAGTTTTTTAATCACCAGTCTGATGAGTGGGGGCGGTAGAAACAGGGAGAAGCCATGCTTCGACCACTAAAAGCAATCAGTGCCCTGCAGTGCACTGGGTTCCTCCCCTGTTTAATCACGGGAGAGCTGACAGTGAAGAACTCTGGGATGATGGCACCTGGGACAGGTCTCCCAACAGGCACTGAGGGGGTACCTGAGAGCATGTAAATGAGCCAGAGTCCAGAAACAGGGAAGATGAGGCCATCACTCAGCCATGGGAGGGCTCACAGCTTCCAGATATGCTCCATTACGGCTAAGGTTTGTAAACTGCACCAGGTGAGCCCCCGCTGCTGTCACACTGTCCTTCCTGCAGGACTGGGCTCCGTGCCCACCTCTCCTAGAGTCTCCCCAGGTGCCCCCTTGGGCAGCCCTGGCCACATTGGGCTAAACTGCCTGCATCTGTGACTGTGCCCTGCACCCCACTGAGCACCTGGAGGGGCAAGAGGAGCCGCTTCCCCAGAGGCCCCCACCTGGGCCACAGTGTGTGCTCTGCAGAAGGTGAAAGGAAGGAGACGGGCTCACCTTGAGGTTCTCGGGGCAGAACTGATGGCCGTACATGTCAATGGCAGACAGGAAAATGGACTCCACCTGGTTGTGCCGCAGCTCATAGGAGGGGAGGTGGGAGGCAATCAGGATCTGCAGGGGGAGGGACGGGGGGCTGGTGTGAGCCAACCTCCCAGGGGAGAAGGCAGAGGCTCGGACACGGGCCGGCAGCATGGTGGGACCCTGCATGGTGAGGGCTGAGAACAGTAGGGGCCACACAGGAGGGTGGGGGGAAGCGCACATCATGGGGACCGCACCCCGAAACCCTACCTGCCGGGCTCTGAGGGCCACTTTGCAGTGCTCGCTTTTGCTCAGCTGAGTGAGCTCATTAAGGATGGAGGTCAGCTCGTCCGATAGGGAAGGGTCTGGGCCACACAGCTCATCCTTAAGGGACAAAAAAAGAAGCCAAATGGCTTTTCTCCAGCCCAGGGAAACATGCAGCACTCATCTTGGCTGGGGGAGCGCCCGCCCCAAAAGCCAGACAGCTGCTCCGCTCTCCAAACAGGCCTGGCACAGCCTGATATGCAAATCCTCACCACTTTCTCCTGTCATTCATTCATTCATTCATTCATTCACTCACTCACTCACTTGGCCACCCATTCATCCACCCCAAAACATGCCCTAAATGCCTGGTAAGAACAAACAAATACAACTAAACCCCTGCCTACATTACTATTAATAGCCAGTGATAAGGCCAGGTGTGATGACTCACACCTGTAATCCCAGCACTTTAGGTGGCTGAGGCAGGAGGATCACTTGAGCTCAGGAGTTTGAGACCAGCCTGGGCAACAGGGCAAAACCTCATCTCTATATAAAAAAAATATATAAAAATTAGCCAGGCATGGTGGCACATGCCTGTAGTCCCAGCTACTCGGGATTCCTTGAGAGGTGGAGGTTGCAGTGAGCTGAGATGACACCACTGCACTTCAGCTAGACTCTGTCTCCAAAAAAAAAAAAAAAAAGTCAGTGATTATCAGGTGCATACTGTGTGCCAGGTGGCTAGTAAACAGCTAGACCCTTTATATAAAACTCCCCAAATTCTCCCACCCCCATGAGGAGTTACTTGTTTTGATTCCCATTTTACAGATAAGAACACTGAGGCTCAAAGAGGCAATCTGCCTCACCCCAAAGTCACCAAACGTGTGCAAGACAGAGCGAGATTCTAACACAGGACTGTTCTGCCCCTAAAGCCTCCCGCTCTTTCCCCTACACATTGCTGCCTGACTTAATGGGTTCACAGTTTCAGAGGAGAGGGACGTGGGGTTGAATCTTACAGGAGGGAGGAACAGTGTGTCTGTGTTGCATCCCTCCGCTCTGCTTCTGAAAGAAGAGCCTTTCTGCTGGAGACCAGGGCTGGGTGCAGCCGGTGTTCGCATCTCCTCTTGTGCCCTAAATGCATGCGGGGCCTGGGAACGGCTCAGCGCAGGTGCTCCCTAACCACCCACTGAAGACAGAGCAATGAATGCTAAATATCAGAGCTCCTGAGCAATATGCCCCCATTCCCTACCCCAGGCATCCACTAAGCCTGGTCTTCCAGAGGTCACCAGATGGTACAGCTATGGGGCATTTTTTTCTACATGTGTTTCTGCATTTTCCTATTCTAATGAACCGATACTGATTTTATCATCAGAAACAATTTTAACATATTGATATTTCATACACAAACACACAGGAATGTCAATGCTGAAGAAATGTGGTAGGAAAGGATTCTAAATCTCTCCCTTCTCTGATTTACTTTCTATTACCAAACGGTGGTGGCATAACTCTCCACCAATCCCCTAGGCTTGTGGCTCCCAGGGCAGGACAGCACAGGTGCTGGCCAGCAGCTAGACTGGTGGTTTTCTAAGAGGTGAAAAACTCAAGAGTTGTTTGTGTGAACATTTTTTAAATTCCCACATACACATCTAAGCGTGAACGTTAAAAAATCTGACCATTGCCTTCTACATACTACTACTACTACTAATAATAATAACAAAAATATTTTTCTAGGCAGGGCACGGTGGCTCATGCCTATAATCCCTGCACTTTAGGAGGCCAAGGCAGGCAAATCACCTAAGGCCAGGAGTTCAAGACCAGCCTGATCAACATGGCGAAACCCTGTTTCCTACTAATACTACAAAAAAATTAGTCAGGTGTGGTGGTGCATGCCTGTAGTCCCAGCTACTCTGGAGGCTGTGGCAGGAGAATCGCTTGAACCCAGGAAGCAGAGGTTGCAGTGAGCCGAGATTGTGCCACTGCACTCCAACCTGGGTGACAGAGCAAGACTCCATCTCGAAAAAAAATAAACAAAACAAAAAACAAAGAAAAAACATTTTTCTTTCTTGTTAACTTAGCGAAGCAGTCTCATCTTGTAAATTTTAGTCCACAGAATCATGTTTTGTTGCTTTGTGTCACTAACGAAGTCCCATGACCAGTGAATTGGTATCAGAAACTAGGTCCCTTTACAAGCCTCAAAAAAATTCATTTCAAAGTAACCATTCAATTCACAAGTCTTTGTTCAAAACCTCTCAGGTACCAAATGCCATCAGGAGCAGAGAACTCACTATTTTCTAACAAATGGGACCAAGAAAGTCAGAAGAATAATGAATCTCACATTTATCTCCAGACTGTAATTGGTTCAACATTTGTAGCCTCTATCATCAAGGAGGTCCAGGCAAATGTCCCAATTCCCAAGAGCTGGGGGCTGCTCCACCCATCTTGCCTTGGCTGTCCTCTGGTGTACGTGACCTTTCAGGACTTCATGCCCAGAAGAGAATCAATATGGGCACAGAGGAACGACCAGCATAATAACCCACAGACCCAAGCCCCAGCCTTTGAATGACAAGCTGGCTGTAATAGATTACAGGCATATTGTGCTTGACAAACACTCGAACTCCAGGAAACTCCATCCAAACAATGTATTTTGAAAAGCATTATATTATTTTAGCAATAGAACTCCCCACAAAGAGTGGATATCTCCTTGGGTGTAAGTTCCCAGTCCTGGCTGCACGTTGCAATCACTTGGGGAGTCCTCCCTTCCAATCAATTTTTACAAACTTCAAAACTACAGAAGAATTGAAGATGACTATGTTGAAAACCCCATAGTAATCACCTAGATTCACTAATTGTTAAACTTTTACCATATTATCATATTTGATTTTTCTCTAATAAGAACGTGCATGTGCATACACACACACTCTCTTTTTCTGAAAGTCAGTTGCAGACACCACAATCCTTTATACTATTTTAGCACATATCTCCCTCCCACCTACCTACAGAACCATTAAAACACCACAGAAACTGAACATTAAACCAATAATATTGTCTAATATACAGTGCACATTTAACTTCCCCACAGGGAAACTTTCAAAAAGCACTAATGCCTGGGCCCCACCCCTAGAAACTCTGATTAAATTGACCAAGGGTGAGGCATGGGCAATTGTATTTTTTAAAAGTCTCCCCACCCCCTAGGTGATTCTAATGTACAACCAGGATTGAAAGCTGCTGTGTGAGATTTTTAAATGGTTCTTTACCAAAAACCCCAATATTTATTAATGCAATTTGGATAGGGGATAGGGTACTAACTGTCCTTTAAGATCATGGCCAAACTCTGCCCACTGACTGTTTTTGTAAATAAAGTTTTATTGGAACATAGCCATCCTCATTCATGTATCTATTGTCTGTAGTTGTTTTCAGGCTACAGTGGCAGAGCTCACAGAGCTGAGTAGTGGCTACAGGGGATGGACGTCCTCAAGCCTAAAATCTTTACTATCCGGGGCCCTTCACACACACACACACACACACACACACACACACACACACACACACACAAATTTGCCAGGCCCATTGTGGTGGCTCATGCCTGAATCCCAGCACTTTGGGAGGCCGAGGCTTGTGGATCCCCTGAGGTCAGGAATTCGAGACCAGCCTGGGTAACATGGCAAAACCATGTCTCTACTAAAAATACAAAAATCAGCTGGGCATGGTGGCGCATGCCTGTAATCCCAGCTACTCCAGAGGCTGAGACAGGAGAATCACTTGAACCCTGGAGGCGGAGGGTGCAGTGAACAGAGATCGCACCACTGCACTCCAGCCTGGGCGACAGAGTGAGACTCTGTCTCAAAAAACAAACAAACAAACAAACAAAAAAGATAGATAGAAGACAGATAGATAGAACCCGGGAGGCGGAAGTTGCAGTGAGCCAAGATTGTGCCATTGTACTCCCGCCTGGGCGACAGAGCAAGACTCCGTCTCAAAAAAAAAAAAAAAAATTGCCAAACCCCTTTCTACCATAAGCCAAGTCCAGGAGAATCGCTTGAACCCAGGAGGCGGAGGTTGCAGTGAGCCAAGATTGTGCCATTGTACTCCCGCCTGGGCGACAGAGCAAGACTCCGTCTCAAAAAAAAAAAAAAAAATTGCCAAACCCCTTTCTACCATAAGCCAAGTCCAAGTCTCTTTTACTTTGCTGATCCTACATTTTCCAAGTCAGTTGCCAGGGACATATCAAAGAATAATATTTTTAGTCATAAAAGACTGCTATTATTGGCCAGGCGCAGTGGCTCATGCCTGTTATCCCAGCACTTTGGGAGGCCAAAGCAGGAAGATTGCTTGAGCCCAGGAGTTCAAGATCAGCCTGGGCAACATGGTGAGACCTCATCTCTACAAAACAAACCAATACACAAACAAACAAACTAGCTGGGTGTGGTAGTGTGAGTCTGCAATCCCAGCTACCTGGGAGGCTGATGTGAGAGGATGGCTTAAGGCCAGGGGATAGAGGCTACAGTGAGCCATGATGGTGCCACTGCACCCCAGCCTGGGCAACAGAGCGAGACCCTGTTTCAAAAGAAAAAATAGACAAAAAACAAAAGACTGCTATTATCAAGTGAAAAGAGAAACAAGAACAGAGACTCCATACCTCTTCTTCTTCACACACAGGACTCAAAATCCAATATCCCACGGCTAATAGTTCATGACTCTGGAGTCAGACTAGTGGTTCAAATCCTGGCTCTACATTTAGGAGCTGGATGCCCTTGGGTAAGTGGCTTAATTTCTCTGTGCTCTGCCAAAGAGCTGTGACAGCAGTACCCACTTTCTAGGACTGCTGTGAGAATTAAATGAGCAACTGTGTATTTGTAAAGCACTTCAAGTGTACCTGGCACAAAGTAGGTGCTTTGCATTAGTCATGATCTCCCCAGGGGCCAACAAATCCCACCCGTTGCCTGTTTTTGTATACAAAGTTGGGTTTTTTTGGTTGTTGTTTTTTTGAGACAGGATCTCATTCTGCCACCCAGGCTGGAGTGCAGTGCTGTGATCACAGCTTACTGCAGGCTTAACATCCCAGGCTCAAGTGATCCTCCTGCCTCAGCACCCTGAGTAGCTGGGACGACAGGTGCATACCACCACACCTGGCTAATTGTTTTTTTTTGTGTTTTTTTTTTTGTGAGACCAGAGTCTGGCTCTGGTCGCTCCGCGGGCTGGAGTGCAGATAGAGCTGACTCAGCTGGCACTTGCAAGGCTCCTGCCCCCCGGTTTTAGCCATCCTTGCGCCTGCCATCAGCCTCCCTCTCCGGAGGAGCTGAAAAGGGCCCGCCACCTCCGCGTGTCCCGGTAGTTTTTTGTATTTTTTTTTAGTAAGACGGTTGGGTTTGTCACCGTGTTCGGCCAGGATGGAGGTGGGGTCACTGGCCTGGCGCTTCTGCGCGGGTGGGGTCTCGATTCCTGACCTCGTGATCCGCCCGTCTCGGCCTCCCAAAGTGCTGGGATTACAGGCTTGAGCCACCGCGCCCGGCCGCCTGGCTAATTTTTGTACTTTTTGTATAGATGAGGTCTCCCTGTGTTGCCCAGGTTGGTCTCAAACTCCTGGCCTCAAGTGATCCTCCTGTCTCAGCCTCCCAAAGTGCTGGGATTACAGAAGTGAGCCACAGTGCCCAGCTTTAGTTTTTTTTTCTAAGAAATGGAGTCTTAGAATATTGCCTAGGCTGGACTTGAACTCCTAGGTTCAAGTGATCCTCCCACCTCAGGCTCCCAACAAAGTTTTATGGGAACCCAGCCATGCCCATTCGCTTACATTGTACAAAGGCAGTGTTGAGTGGTCAAGACAGAGACCACGGCAACCTGCAAAGTCTAAAATATTTACTTTCTGGCTTACTTTTTCTTTTCTTTCCTTTTCTTTTCTTTATTTTTTGAGACAGTATCTCGCCCTGTTGCCCAGGCTGGAGTGCAGTGCCACGATCTTGGCTCACTGCAACCTCTGCCTCCTGGGTTCAAGCGATTCTTCTGCCTCAGCCCCCCAAGTAGCTGGGATTACAGGTACGTGCCACCATGCCCAGCTAATTTTTGTATTTTTAGTAGAGACGAGGTTTCACCACATTGGCCAGGCTGATCTCGAACTCCTGATCTCAAGTGATCTGCCCGCCTCAGCCTCCCAAAGTGCTGGGATTAGAGGCATGAGCCACCGCGTCCGGCCACTTTCTGCTCCTTGTTAGAAAATGTTTGCGGACTCCTGACCCACCCCCGGTTGAGTAACAGGCCCTCTTCCTGCTTACGATCAGCATGATCACCAGCTGGTTCTTCTTGGCCACCTGTGCGTGGGAGAAGATGCAGTCCAGCACCTGGGACATGTCTGGCTTGAACTGCTCCCTGAGGTTTATCACACACTTGTCGTAGTGGGCTAGGGGGAGACAAAACACCACTCAGAGGTAAAGTTCAGGCTCCTCAGCCCCCCACCATCCCACTGGTGTTGGCATCAGCATCTCTTGCCTTGCTGAAAATGGTGCTCGACATGCAAGTATCTTCTCAGGAGATCCAACACCACTGTTTTCATATAGCCACGGATCCCGCTGCGGTATCTGGGGAGAAGGGAAGGCTGCTCTTAATGCTCACACCCCTTCCTTGAGTACCTGAATATTTAATATTTTCTTTTTATGATTTTTAAAAAGAGAAAGGATTGGCTGGGCGGGGTGGCTCACACCTGTAATCCCAGCACTTTGGGAGGCTGAGGCAGGCAGATCACGAGGTCAGGAGATCGAGACCATCCTGGCCAACATGGTGAAACCCTGTCTCTACTAACAATACAAAAACTAGCTGGGCGTGGTGGCAGACGCCTGTAGTTCCAGCTGCTCGGGAGGCTGAGGCAGGAGAATCACTTGAATCTGGAAGGAGGAGGTTGCGGTGAGCTGAGATCGCACCATTGCACTCCAACCTGGGTGACAGAGCAAGACTCCGTCTCAAAAAAAAAAAAAAAAAAAAAGAGAGAGAGAGAGGATTTTAGAAAGGACATGGAGATGGAAGGATCACTGGAGCCCAGGAGTTCAGGCCTGGGCAATATTGCCAAGACCCAGTTTCTACAAAACAAAACAAAAAATTAAGGCCAGTCATGGTGGCTCACGCCCATAATCCCAGCACTTTGGGAGGCTGAGGCAGGAGGATCATTTGAGCCCAGAAGTTCAAGAGCAGCCTAGGCAACAAGGTGAGACCTTGTCTTTACAAAAAAATCAAAAAAATCAGCCGGGAGTGGTAGCGCATGACTGTGGTCCCGGCTACATAGGAGGCTGAGGCGAGAGGATCACTTGAGGCCAAGAGGTCAAGGCTGTTGTGAGCTACGATCGCACCACTGCACTCCAGCCTGGGCGATAGCTTGTCTCAAAATAAATTTAAAAAAATTAATTAATTAACTAGTTAATTTTAAAATAATTTTTTTTAAAGTATCTAGAGGCAGCCTCTAATCCTGAGGCCTTCAAAGGATATGGAGTTGGTTCATCTGCAGGCCAGAAAGAACACTGCCCTGGCCAAGGTCCCACATCAAACTGGAGGCAAAAACCGGAGTAGATCCCAAGCCTAATACTTGGGAGGGCGCCTTTCTGGCCACAGAGAAAACAAAAACAAAAACAAACAAACAAACACACACACACACCCCTTAATAGATTTCGGATACTGAACGGGGTAGCCAAGTTTAGCAAGCTTTAACCATTAAAACAAAATTTTTCAATCACTTACCCAACGTATAGAGACCATTTTAAAAAGACAAACTGGAAAAACATTTACCAAAAGATCTCCATGTAAATTTTGCTTCTCTCTTTTTTTTTTTTTCTTGTTTTGAGACAGGTTCTTGCTCTGTCACCCAGGCTGGAGTGCAGTGGTGCAATCACCGCTTACTGTCATCTCTGCCTCCCGGGCTCAAGCAATCTTCCCACCTCAGCCTCTGCAGTAGCTGGGACCACAGGTGCCCACCACCATGCCCGGCTAATTTTTGTATATTTTGTAGACGGATTTCACCATATTGCCCAGGCTGGTCTCGAACTTCTGAGCTCAAGCAATCCACCTGCCATGGCCTCCCAAAGTGCTGGGATTATAGGTGTGAGCCATCGCACCTAGCCGCTTCTCTTTTAAAACAAAGTTTTAACCTGGATGTTCCTCCAAAAATCTGAACGCAGGGGTCAAGTTTCTCAGGAGATGTGACACTGAGTTGTGGGGAAGTAGAAACTAGCTTAACTGCAGCATCACCAAATAACAACAAAACAGATCAAGATGCTAAAAGACTCTCTGATCCGAATGTGATTTTAAAACACATACTTATACAACACAGGACAGAGTTTTAATACTTATGTTCAGCACAGAAAATTCGCCAGAAAATTCAGTTAATTTATTAATGATTCATTTTTCCTAGATGTTTCTCTGAAGCTTAAAGGATGGGCTTAAGGTTAGCAGTCGATGTGTTTTAAGAGGACTCCCTTCCTAGCCCCTGGCTGTGAAACTTGCAGTTTGTGGGGAATCCACACTAAAATCTCTCCCTGACAGCTGGGGAGCTCCTTGAAAAGAAGGCCGGTTTTCTACAATCTTACATTCTTTGTACCTGGGAGTTTCTGGCACATGGGAAACATGCCTGGAATTTATTGGTTTAAATCCAATAATGCTTTGATTCCTTTTTTTCTTTTTCGTAAAAGACAAGGTCTTGCTCTGTCCCCCAGGCTGGAGTGCAATGGCATGATCACAGCTCACTACAACCTCAAACTCCTGGGATCAAGCAGTCCTCTCACCTCAGCCTCCTGAGTAGCTAGGCCTATAGGTACACACCACCATGCCTGACTCTTTTTTTTTCTCTTTTTTTTTGTACAGACAGGGTCTCGCTACATCACCAAGGCTGGTCTCCAACTCCTGGCCTCAAGTGGTCCTCTTGCCTTGGCCTCCCAAAATGCTGGGATTATAGGCATGAGCCGCAGCACCTGGCCCTGATTGTCTTCATAAGGAAAGCTTTCTTGCTAGGTGGACTTTTCGTGAAAAGTGGCACAAAATCCTTTTGTCGGCCAGGCGTGGTGGCTCACGCCGTAATCCCAGCACTTTGGGAGGCCGAGGCAGACGGATCACGAGGTCAGGAGATTGAGACCATTCTAGCTAACACAGTGAAACACGGTCTCTGCTAAAAATACAAAAAAGAAATTAGCCGGGCATGATGGCAGGCGCCTGTAGTTCCAGCTACTCAGGAGGCTGAGGCAGCAGAAGAATGGCATGAACCCAGGAGGCGGAGCTTGCAGTGAGCCAAGATCGTGCCACTACACTCCAGCCTGGGCGACAGACTGAGACATCATCTCAAAAAAAAAAAAAGAAAAAAAAAAATCCTTTTGTCATCAGAATAGTCCTGCAGCAGAAAACCCCTGTACAATAAAAAACTACTTGAGACAAATTCAAATTATTCATCCACTTTCCTTTGCAATTGTCCCAAAAGCCACAATGATAACAATTTGTGCAGTCTTTTATCATACATAAAGCTATTTCACCACATTGTCTCAATCTAATGTAACTATCAAGTATTTACTATTTGTCAGCACTTCACAAAACTTAATACATTTATAGGCCAGACATGGTGGCTCACGCCTGTAATCCCAGCACTTTGGGAGGTCGAGGCGAGTGGATCACTTGAGGTCAGGAGTTCGAGACCAGCGTGGCCAATATGGTGAAACCCCGTCCCTACAAAAAGTACAAAAATTGCCCGTAATCCCAGCTACTCGGGAGGCTGAAGCAGGAGAATCGCTTGAACCTGGGAGGCAGAGGTTGCAGCAAGCTGAGATCATACCACTGCTCTCCTCTGTGGGAAGGAGCCTCTGTCTCAAAAAAAAAAAAAAAAAAAAAAAAAAATTCATTCCTTTATAATCCAAACAACTTGTCTTGAAAAGTGTTTTTATTTCCATTTTGCCAGCTGGCAAACAGCTTCACAGAAGTAAAGTGCCTTACCTAGGGTTCTGCTGTTAGTAATGGCACCGCAGGACCATAACGCACTTTCTCGCAGTGCAAGCCTGCCCGGAAGACAGCCCCAGAGCACCACCCTGGTGCAATGCATGTGACGATCAGGTGACAACCACATCCCATGGGGAGACCTAGGATTTACCTCTGGACCAACTGCACGATGCTCTGGGTGTTAATGAAGAAGACCTCTCGGTCAGCCTTCCGCTGCAGGGTGGCTGCGTGGCAGTCCAGGATGGTGGCTATCTGGATGGGAAAACAAGACAGATCTGACTGCTGATGATTCACATGCCACACAGCAGTCCCCTAAAGCAGGGGTCCCCAAACCAGTACCCAAACCAGCACTGGTCTGTGGCCTGTTAGGAACTGGCTGAACAGCGGGAGGTAAGCAGTGGAAGAAGGAGCGAAGCTTCGTCTGTATTTACAGCCCCCCCATTGCTCATAATACCATCTGAGCTCCACCTCCTGTCAGATCAGCGGGAACATTAGATTCTCACAGGCGCGCAAACCCTGCTGTGAACCACGCCTGCGAGGGATCAAGGTTGCATGCTCCTTATGAGAATCTGAGGCCTGATGATCTGTTGCTATCTCTCATTACCCCCAGATAGGACCGTCTAGGTGCAGGAAAACAAGCCTGGGGCTCTCACAGATTCTACATTATGGTGAGTTGTATAATTATTTCATTATATATTACAATGTAATCATAATAGAAATAAAGTGCACCATAAATGTAACGCACTTGAATCATCCCGAAACCACCCCTGTCCCCGGTCTGTGGAAAAACTGTCTTCCACAAAACCGGTCCCTGGTGCTAAAAAGGTTGGGAACTGCTGACCTACAGGACCCACCACAGCCTCCCAGGGAGGTCCCATCCAAGGCTCATTTGAAGATTGAAAATTCCAGGCCCAAAGCCTTCCAGCTACCCTGCAACACCCCTGTTCATCCCTTCAACGGTGAGGAATTCAAGTGCTCAAAATGCCAGCAATCACATGGAGAAGTGCACACATTCGCCTTCTACCGGTCCGCACATATGAACGGGATGGGGAATGAGGAGATGGGAATGTCCCACTCTAGCAAAAACCAGGGTGCTGGTGGGGAAGGGTCCTGTCTTTATCATTAGACGTAATGTTATTGGTATATTGCCTTTGGCATCAAAAATATTTTTAAAGAAAAAAAAAACCTGGATCAATGACAAATTCCTGAAAGTTCCAAGTGTGTACTTTTTCAGTTAGGATCCTCTAGAGTTTGGTTTTTGTTATTTTTTAGTTCAGATATACCTTACATACCATCATATTCCACCATCTCCCTTTAAAGTGTACATTCAGTGGTTGGTAGTGTATTCATAAAGTCGTGCAACTACCACCACCATCTAATGTTAAAGCATGTTCGTCACTCTAAAAAGAAACCTCGTAGTCATTAGTGCTCACTCTCCATTTTCCCTGCACTGCAGCCCCTCGCGGTCACTAATCTACTTCCTTCTTCATGAATGTGCCTATTCTGGACATTTCATAAAAAATGGAATTACACAGGGCTGGGCACCGTGGCTCATGCCTGTAATCCCAGCACTTTGGGAGGCCGAGGCAGGAAGATCACCTGAGGTCAGGAGTTCAAGACCAGCCTGGGCAACATGGTGAAACCACATCTCCACTAAAAAAACAAACAATTAGCTGGGAATGGTGGTGTATGCCTGTAATCCCAACTACTCGGGAGGTCTCAAAAAAAAAAAAAAAAAAAAGGAATCACATAATATCACATAATATGTGGTCTTTTGTGCCTGGCTTATTTCCCTTAGCACAATTCATGCTTCATCCACGTGGAAGCATGAATCAGTATTCTTTCTTTCTTTGGCTGGACAATATTCTAGCCCTTAGAACTGCTAACCTCTGAGAATGGCCTGAACGACACTGTCCTCTGGTTTCCCAAATCACCAATGTGTGGGCGGGTGGATGACGATGGTGAGGAACCCTCTCACCAGAGGGCAAGAAGGCCAATAGGCAGAGGGGCTCTTCCCAGTGCAAATGCCTTTCAAATGCCCCACAAAACCAACAACCACAACAAAATGAGCAACGCAAGGCCAGTGTGTAAATAACAGAGATATTTCATACTACCCTGGAATGGCTTCCATTCTTTTTTTTAACGTGTTCACAAATGCAACTATGATTATGATGAGACATCTCAGTACATTCTTTTTTTTGGAGCGCAGTGGTGCAATCTCGGCTCACTGCAACCTCTGCCTCCTGGGTTCAAGCAATTCTCCTGCCTCAGCCTCCTGAGTAGTTGGGACTGCAGGTGCGTGCTACCATGCCTGGCTAATTTTTGTATTTTTAGTAGAGATGGGGTTTCACCATGTTGGCCAGGCTGGTCTCAAACTCCTGACCTCAAATGATCCACCTACCTCGGCCTCCCAAAGTGCTGGGATTATAGGAGTGAGCCACTGCACCCGACCTCAGTACAGTTCTTAAAATACTATATATATATAGGGGTGTGTGTGTGTGTGTATGTGTGTATATATATATACACACACAAACACATACACACATGGAGCTCCCAGATGATCACCTACGAAATCCAGGGACGGAAAATCAAAGCTGCAAACCAGTGAAAAAACAAAAATTAAAAAACTTGCAGTTTCCTCTAATGATGTCAGCCAGTTTATTTGTTTGGGAAATGCTCACTCCATCTGCATCAACTCCATCGGAATCTTGAGTTTTACGCAATAAGACCTAAGGAATGTTGATGTTCATTCAAACAACTGTTGCTTTGAGTAAATGATGGGATTCTGCAGATGAGGCTTGAAAGGAAACCCTCGGCCTGATATGTTAGGCTATAAGTGGGTCTCAAGGAGTTCAACTTGATCAGAGGCCAGATATGGAGCCAGACTGGGAGCCAGCCCAGTGTGACCATCCTGGTGGGGTGGGGCTGGGTGGGGGAGCACGTACCTGCTGGCTGGGGAACTGGCACAGCACCGAGGTGATGTTGCTGGCATACTGGGCCATCACCCTGCGGACTGACTTCTCCACGGGGGCTGGGATGCGGCCTGCCACGCTGGTCATGATCTCCTGCAGCTCCAGCAGCGGCAGTGACGGGTGCCTGAGGGTCATCATGAGCTTCTGCACCCACTCCTTCAACTGAAGCGGGGACCACAGCATCAGCCCCCAGCCCTGCATGGGCATGGGCACCACCCACCACAACAGGGCACCCAACACAGCTCAACCCATCCTGACCCCATGCACTCAAGTGGCTGAAGATCCAGACCCAGCAGCCTCTGGGGCAGTCCAGAGTGGAACGGCCCCTGACCACATGGAATACTCAGTTTTCCCACATAGGAAGACCCTGACTCCCCCTCTCTGTGCATCAGAAAGCCAGCATTGGGGGGAATCAAACATAAGGTCACGTGATGAGTTGATGTTTCTCGTATACTAGCTTAGTACAGTGTTCTAGGACCTTTCTTTACATGTTCTCACTGGATCCCTAAAAGCAACCCTACAAAGGAGGTCTAATGATTTTGTCCATTTTGCAGTTGAGGCAACTGAAACACAGAGAGATTAGTTAAGTTAACCAAAGTCACTTAGCTAGTAAGAAGCAAAACTAGGAGGCAAACCCAGGCTGTTCAGCTCCTGAGACTGAACTGCTGCCCTATGCTGTTTCCGGGGTGTCTCAGTAGCCAATGCTGATGGTCTTTGGATGACAATGACAATGGGGCCAACGCCCCAGTGTGGTTGTGAGGTTTCCAAGTGAACTGATACATAAACTGCGAAGCACCCCAACTAATAAAGGTTGCAATTATTGTGGAGTGCAGTGGCTCATGTCTGCAATCCCAACACTTTGGGAGGCCAAGGCAGGAGGATCACTTGAGCCCAGGAGTTCGAGACCAGCCTGGGCAACATGGTGAGACCCCATCTCTACAAAAAATTAGCTGGGCATGGTGGCAGGTGCCTGTAACCCCAGCTACTTGGGAGGCTGAAGTGGAACGATTGCTTGAGCCCAGGGGGTCAAGGTTGTAGTGAGCACTGTTTCACTCCAACTTGGGAGACACAGCAAGACCCTATCTCAAAAAAAAAAAAAAAAGTTGCAATGATGTCAATAATCATCAGGCAGCATAACATGGGGTGAAGAGCACAGAGTCAGAATCCTGATGGCCATGGTTCAGATCTCATCTTTGCCTCCTCATGTATGAAGCACGGCAAGTCTCTTAGTCCCTGTGTGCTTCAGTTGCCTCAACTGTAAAAGGAAATAAGAGTTCCTACCTTATCGGTTGCTGGGAGGATGAAATAATTGAACTTTTAAGTAGTTAGAAGGTGACACAGTGGGCATGGTGGCTCATGCCTGTAATTCCAGCACTTTGGGAGGCCGAGGTGGGTGAATCACCTGAGGTCAGGAGTTCGAGACCAGCCTGGTCAACATGGTAAAAACCCATCTCTACCAAAAAAAAATACAAAAATTAGCTGGGTATAGGTGGCACGTGCCTGTAATCCCAGCTACTCAGGAGGCTGAGGCAGGAGAATCACTTTAACCTGGGAGGCAGAGGTTGCAGTGAGACAAGATTGTGCTACCATACTCCAGTGTGGGTGACACAGCAAGGCTCCATCTCAAAAAAAAAAAAAAAAAAAGGGTGACACATGGTACATACTTGCTAAGCATTGGCAATTATTATCATCATCGCCATGATTTTCATCATCACTAGTCACTGTTATGAGCATCACGGGTCTTTCAAGGAGGTCTGCAAATCAGAGAACTTCTTGTTTCTTTACTGAGTGAATAGATGAGACCCAGCAAGGGTGAACGGCGAACAGAGGTGTGTTTCAAACAAAGGGCCTTGTCCGTCATCTCCTTAAGGGGGGTGACCCCCACTGACTCCTTCCTTAACGTCCTACTGGAATATTCTCAGTTTTCAGCTGAACTGCTACAAGCCCAGTTTACGATCAAGGAGAAAACGTCAGGCCAGTGTTTGCAATCGAATTGAGGAATTCCCTGAGGACAGGTCCTTCATAAACACAACAGAGGGGCTGGGTGCGGTGGCTCAGGCCTGTAATCCCAGCACTTTGGGAGGCCCAGGCAGGTGGATCACTTGAGCCTGGGAGTCTGAGACCAGCTTGGGGAACACGGTAAAACTCCATCTCTACAAAAATACAAAAAATTAGCCAGGCGTGGTGGGGTGTACCTATAGTCCCAGCTACTCGGGAGGCTGAGGTGGGAGGATCTCTTGAGCCCAGGAGGTTAAGGCTGCAGTGAGCCTGGGTGACAGAGTGAGACTTTGTCTCAAAAAACAAAATAAATAAAATAAAAACAACAGAAGACCGACCATTTTCTCATTTCTTACTAATGACCTCTGCTGTCATGGGGTAGACCTGACTCTCCACACGGATCTACATGCCTGCGCTCATAGGTGACTTTACCTTTATGCTAAAAATGGGCTCCGGCAGACAAAAGCCACTCATGACGTTGGTGAGGTTTTCCAGGACGCTGTGGAAGACCTGGTGCAGTTTCTCTCCAAGGATGGGCAGTGTCTGCTGGGCAGGGAGTTCTCCTGTGAATGGTTCAGCCTGATGAGACACCACAAGAATGACAGGTCAGGAAAACTCTGGGAATCCCAAATGGGATGGGGCAGAACGGGAGGCGGGGCAGATCCGCCGGCTTCCATATCAAATGAGGATGAGGCCTGAGGAAAAAATCGAAGACAATGTACTGGAAAGTTAAAATGGCCAAACTCACACCCCAGTATGGGTTTTCCAAACCATTCCTTTTGAGTTCAAGACCAGCCTGGCCAACACGGCAAAACCCCATCTCTACTAAAAATACACAAAAAATTTAGCCAGTCACAGTGGCGCGTGCCTGTAATCGGAGCTACTCCAGAGGCTGAGGCAGGAGAATCAATTGAACCTGGGAGGCGGAGGTTGCAGTGGGCCAAGATTGTGCCATTGCACTCCAGCCTGGGAAATGGAGTGAAATTCTGTTTTCCTCCACAGTCTGATCATGGCTTCTCCATCTGGGCCCCCACAGCCCAGGGCCAAGGGCAGTGTTCTAACTACACTCACTAAGTAAAATTACTTGATCTCCCAGTCTGTCTCACAAGCATTTACGTGAGGCTCAGGGAATGGGTGGCCAGGCCCTACCTTATTAACCCAGCACAGGAAATGTGTGCTGAAAGGAATCACAGTGCAGGTACCTGGACCTGCCCACTGATCCAAAAAGGCCCAGTCTATTCCTAGCTTTGGGAACTCCCTAAAGAGACTAATGATGCCAGGCACAGTGGCTCACCCTTGTAATCCCAGCACTTTGGGAGGCCAAGGTGGGCGGATTGCTTGAGGCCAGGAGTTCAAGATCAGCCTGGCCAACCTAGTAAAACTCCATTACTACTAAAAATACAAAAATTAGTCAGGCATGGTGGCACAAACCTGTAGTCCCAGCTACTTGCTACCCGGGAGTCTGAGGCAGGAGAATTGCTTGAACCCAGGAAGTGGAGGTTGCAGTGAGCCGAGACCATGCCACTGCACTCCAGCCTGGGTGACAGAGTGAGACTCTGTCTCAAAAAAAAAAAAAAAAAAAAAAGAGAGAGAGACTAATGAAAAGAATTGTAACAACAGTAATTTGCAGCAACATGGATGGAACTGGAGGATATCAGATTATTATGTGAAATAATCTGGGCACAGAAAGACAAATTTAGCATGTTCTGACTCATATGTGGGAGTAGAAAATTAAAACAAATGGACTCACGGAAATAGAATGTAGAATGATGGCTGCCAGGGTCTGGGAAGGGTAATGGGGCTGGTGGGAGTGGGGATAGTTAATGGGTACAAAAATACAGTTCAATAGAATGAATAAGATCTAGTATTGAGGCTGGGCATGGTGGCTCACACTTGTAATTCCAGCACTTCAGGAGGGCGAGGCGGGCGGATCACCTGAGGTCAGGAGTTCCAGATCAGCCTGGCCAACATGGTGAAACCCCATCTCTACTAAAAATACAAAAATTAGCCGGGCATGGTGGCAGGTGCCTGAAGTCCCAGCTACTCAGGAGGCTGAGGCACGAGAATCGCTTGAACCCTGGAGGTGGAGGTTACAGCTAGCCAAGATCACGCCACTGCACTCCAACCTGGGTGACAGAGCGAAACTGCATCTCAAAAAAAAAAAAAAGATCTAGTATTGATAGCACAACAGGGTGACTCTATAGTCAATTAAAATTGAATGTATATTTTAAAATAACCAAAAGAGTAGAATTGGAATGTTCCTAGCGCAAAGAAATGATAAATGCTTGAGGTGATAGATACCCCAATCACCCTGATTTGATTATTAGACAGTATATGCCTATATCAAAGGTCACATGTACCCCATAAACATATACACCTATTATTAGACTGTATGCCTATATCAAAAGGTCACATGTACCCCATAAATATATAGACCTATTATGTACCTATAATTATAATTTTTTTAAAAAAGAAAACAAATACAATCAATAGAATACTCTGGAGAAAAGAGACAATGTGATATTTGTAAATGCTTTTTTTGCTGGACAGATGTACTAATTATTTTAGAGTCTTGCTTAGGAGGGTGTAAACATTCATTCATTCATCAAGACTTATTATTTCTCAGCACCCATTATGCCCCGAGCACTGTGCTAAGCCCCAGGATCACAACAGGAACATCAAAAGTAGTCCTTGACCTCAGGGACTCATAGGTAATGACAGGGCTTGACAAACGCTGAAAAATTAACAGGAATCTAAATTGGAGGTCCCCCCAAGAGCCTGAGCTCAGGGTCACATGACAGACACTCTGGTGCACCCCCTAGTGGTCCTGAGGAGAGGGTGATGGCCCCGGCACCTGCACTGCTATACGTTCATCCAACAACCAATATTTACAGAGCACCTCTGACGTACCAGCTCCTGTTTTTGGCACTGGGGACCCAGCAGTGAGCAAGAAAGCCAAAAAGCCCTGTTCTCCTGGTGTTTCCAGTCTCCTGAAGGCCAAATAATAAACCAAGAAGACAATCAGTGAGGTCGTCTCTGTGAGGTGTGGTGTGTGTTTGCACATGGGTAGAGGTGAGCACAATTTTTTAAAGGGCGGTTGAAAGAGACATGACAACTATATGCAATGCACTAACCTGGATGGGATCCTGAACATTAGGTAAAAACTAAGAAAATCGTACACTCACGTCCATAGCTGCCTTATTCACAGTAGCCAAAAGGTAGAAACAATCCTAGTGTCTATCAGTGGACGAGTCAATAAACAAAATGTGATATACCCCTACAAGGGAATATTATGCAGCCTTAAAAAAACAGGGACGGCCGGGCGCGGTGGCTCAAGCCTGTAATCCCAGCACTTTGGGAGGCCGAGACGGGTGGATCACGAGGTCAGGAGATCAAGACCATCCTGGCGAACAGGGTGAAACCCCGTCTCTACTAAAAAATACAAAAAACTAGCCGGGCGAGATGGCGGGCGCCTGTAGTCCCAGCTACTCGGGAGGCTGAGGCAGGAGAATGGCGTGAACCCGGGAGGCGGAGCTTGCAGTGAGCTGAGATCTGGCCACTGCCACCACACTCCAGCCTCGGTGACAGACTGAGACTCTGTCTCAAAAAAAAAAAAAAAAAAAACAGGGACATTCTGCCACATGCTATAAGATGGAGGAAACTTAGAAACATTATACTAAACGTAGTCACAAAAGGTCAGATACTATATAGATTCCACCTATATGAGGCACCTAGAGGAGTTGAATTGATAGAAAGCAGAATAGTGGTTGCCAGGGGCTGGAGGGAGGAGGGAGGAGGGAGTTACTATTTAATGAGTGTCAAGCTTTAGTTTTGCAAGTGCTGGAGATGGATGATGGTGATGGTTGTGCAACCATGTGAATGTATTTAATACTGCTGAAGAGAACATTTAAAAATGGCTAAGACAGTAAATTTCATGTTATGTGTATTTAACCATAATTTTTAAAAAATGAACTAAGGAAATCTGAGTGAACAATAATGTACCAATATTGGTTCATTAAATGTGACAAATGGACCATACTATTGCAATAATAGTTAAATTTAAAACAGTTAATTATTATTCTTAAACAATAATACCTAATATATCGATATTGGTTCATTAAATATGCCAAATGGACCATGCTCGTGCAATAATAGTTAAATTAATAATAGTAAATTGATAACAATAGTAATTAATTGAGGCCAGGTGTAGTGGTTCACACCTGTAATCCCAGCACTTTGGGAGGCTGAGAAGGGTGGATCACCTGAGGTCAGGAGTTTAAGACCAGCCTGGCCAACATGGCAAAACCCTGTCTCTATTAAAAATAAAAAAATTAGCCAGTGTGGTGGTACATGCCTATAATCCCCAGCTACTGGGGAGACTGAGGCAGGAGAATCACTTGAACCAGGGAGGCAGAGGTTGCAGTGAGCCAAGATCATGCCACTGCACTCCAGCCTGGGCAACAGAGCAAGACTCTGTCTCAAAAAAAAAAAAAGAAGAAGAAGAAGAAGACCGACAATTAATTGAATAATAATTAAATGAATGACAGGGAAACTGGCTACAGACAATATGGGAACTCTGTACTATTTACATAACTGTTCTGTACATCTTAAACTATACTAAAAATTAAGTCTATTAAAAAGAAAAGGTGGTCAGTGATCAAGAATGCCCTCACTGAGGGGAAGACATTGGAATCAAAGCTCCTAGGAGTTGGGAGTGATCCCTGCAAAGTCTGGGGTAGGTCCTTCATGGCAGAGAGGACAGCTCCCTGGAGGGAGGGATCCAGTGTATTCAAGTAAGTGATGGGGAGAGGGACAGAGGAGGAAGACAGAGAAGAAAGCAGGGAACAGCTCATTTGGGGTCTTGTAGGTCACTGGCAGAAACTGGGTTTTACTCTAAGCAGGATGGAGAGCCACAGAGAGGGATCTGAGCAAAGCAGGGTGCAGCTTCCTTGTGTTTCTGCACCATCACGGTGGCTGCTGAGATGAGCTCCGTCTGCAGGTGGAAGCAGGAGAAGAGCTATCAGCCTTGAGTCTACCTGTCTCACTGAACCAGCGGAGGCTGCAAGTGCACCTGCACCAGCCAGAGCACTTGGGCCGTGGAACCACATACCGGGTGGACCTTAGAAGGGTCATCAAGCTCCAGCCTGGCCACCACGCAGCCTGCTTCCAGCACGGCCCCTGGACGCTTGATGTACTTCACCCGGCCACTTTCCTGCACGTTCAGGGTCATGATCATCTTCATCACCTATTTCGTAAAAAGAAGAAATAGTACAGAGCCCGTCAGGACTGACACCCAGAGCCACCCAGAACTAGTGATGCCGGAGCAGGGACTCGTCATCTAAATGGAATGACTCCCTGGGCAGTGTTCAGGCAGAAGGGACAAGGAAAAGTGACCTTTACTGGAAGCCTGCTATGTACCAGGCAAGTGCCATTCACTCTGCAGAGCCAGCCAAGGAGGTGTTTGTGATGCCCATTTACAGATATGGAAACTGATGTTTATTTCCAAAGGGGGGTCTTCTCTCTCTTAGAAATACTGTTAAATCATGTTACATAGAGTGGTTCATATACACGTTCCTAAAATGTACCGCATAAGTCAAACATTTTGTGAACAGTTTGTTTTATTAAAGGCACTTAGACAACCAGGGAACACTCTGTGAAATGAAGAATCTGCTCATCAGCCCTTTCAGTGTGCCTCTCTGAGTGTCTGGATATGTGGATGGCATGAGCTTTGTCACCATGGTGTCAGCTGCAGAGCCAGGACTATGCTGTCTCTCTTGCTTGGCAGTTCACAGCTTGGGCACCCAAGTCAGCCAGGCCTGGACTAGAATCCCAGGACCCGCCCCCTCTCCCCAATACCTCTGTGATCTTCAGAAGTGGCTTCCCTCCTTGAGCCTCAGTTTCCCCAAGTGTAAAATGAGGAATAATGACAGTTTCACCTCTTAGGGCTCTTATGAGGATTAAATGAGATGCAGATCCTGCCATGCAGCAGGTCAATACGCAGTAGCTACTATTACTGCTGTATTTTCATTGCTATTATTGTTGTTATTTTCCAGGTTTGAATCCTGGCTTTGTGTGACCTCCAGCGAGTTTCTTAGCCTGCCTGGGCCCAGCTTTTTTATAAAATGGGGACCACATTTGTGCCCATCTCATACAATTGCTGGGAAGGTTAAAAAATAAAGATCAGGCCGGGCGCGGTGGCTCAAGCCTGTAATCCCAGCACTTTGGGAGGCCGAGATGGGTGGATCACAAGGTCAGGAGATCAAGACCATCCTGGCTAACACGGTGAAACCCCATCTCTAATAAAAAATACAAAAAACTAGCCGGGCGAGGTGGCGGGCGCCTGTAGTCCCAGCTACTCGGGAGGCTGAGGCAGGAGAATGGCGGGAACCCGGGAGGCGGAGCTTGCAGTGAGCTGAGACCCGGCCACAGCACTCCAGCCTGGGCGACAGAGCGAGACTCCGTCTCAAAAAAAAAAAAAAAAAAAAAAAGATCAGTAAAATGCTTAGAACAGCACCTGCCACATGGTTACAGCTTTGCAAGTATTGGCTGAACACCTTTCGATCACTGCTGGGGTCAATATTTAATATTTAATCAATGATTGATAATAATTGTTATTATCAATCAATTCTTGGCTGGGTGCAGTGGCTCATGCCTGCAATCCCAGCACTTTCGGAGGCCAAAGCAGGTGGATCATCTGAGCTCAGGTGTTTGAGAACAGCTTGGGCAACATGACGAAACCCTGTCTCTAACAAAAATACAAAAAATTAAGTCAGGCGGGGTGGTGCGTGCCTGAAATCCCAACTACTTGGGAGGCTGAGGTGGGGGGATCACTTGAGCCTAGGAGGCGGAGTTTGCAGTGAGCCGAGATCACGCCACCACACTCCAGCCTCGGTGACAGACTGAGACTGTCTCAAAAAAAAAAAAAAAAAAAATCAAGGAAACTTATTTACAGAACAGTTTACAGAACAGTTTTGTAAATAGTACAGACAGTTCCCATATTCTCTGTATCCAGTTTCTGTGTCATTAACCTTCTTACTCATTCCTAGGGAGGTGTGCATTTTTTGAAGTTTTTTTCTTTGAATACTTCAGGAGATTTGGCTGAAACCCACAGACTGACTCCCTTAGGAATTTGCACACAGTGGCCAAGGGGAGAAGTAGGTCTGTTTGTTCAGACATGGGACAAAGCCAGAGGAGTGAGGGTTTGAGGGTTCAGGATTCCCCACGGCCGGCTCTGCAGTCACCTCCATCTCAGCGTAGCTGCTCCCAGCCTCAACGTGGCCCCCGTCCTCCACTGTGTACTGTGTCAGCTTCCCAGCCGAGGGGGATCTCAGGACCGTAGGATCATTCTCCTTCTCAAACACACATGTCTTATTGCCGATGGTAATTCGGTAACTGGGAGAGAGGAGGAGTGGGTAGGGAGACTGATGAGGACCATCAACCCAGCAAGCCCTAGTCCGGCTTTCAATACCATTTCCCCTTCCTAAAGGGGGAGTGTACCCTCTACGTTCCCAAAGGGTGGCATTTGATAGTTATCTCAGAGACACTGAGAGTGAGGTCGGTGAACAAAAGGCTGTGATGCTTTCTTTGTGAGGCCGAGGTGGGAGGATCGCTTGAGGCCAGGAGTTTAAGACAAGCCTGGGCAACACAACGAGACCCCGTCTCTACAAAAAAATTAAAAAAAAAAAAAATTAGCTGGGCATGGTAGCACATGCCAGGAGTCCCAGCTACTCAGGAGGCTAAGGCAGGAGAATCCTTTAAGCCCAGGAGTTCGAGGCTATTGTGAGCTATAATTACTCTGTCACCCAGGCTGGAGTGCAGTGACACAATCATGGTTCACTGAAGTCTCGACCTCCCTGGGGTCAGGTGATCCTCCCATCACAACCCCCTGATTTGTGCTACTACACTTGGCTAGTTGTTATATTTTATAGAGATGGGGTTTTGCCATGTTGCCCAGGCTAGTCTCAAACTTCTGGACTCAAGTGATCAGGGTCTCACTCTTGCCCAGGCTGGGCAACAGAGTGAGAACCAGTCTTATTTATTTTATTTTTTATTTTTTGAGACAGAGTGTCGCTCTGTCGCCCAGACTGGAGTGCAGTGGCGTGATCTCGGCTCACTGCAAGCTCCGCCTCCTGGGTTCACACCATTCTCCTGCCTCAGCCTCCCAAGTAGGTGGGACTAAGGTACCTGCCACCACACCAGGCTAATTTTTTTTGTATTTTTTAGCAGAGACAGGCTTTCACCATGTTAGCCAGGATGGTCTCGATCACCTGACCTCGTGATCCACCCGCCTCGACCTCCCAAAGTGCTGGGATGACAGGCGTGAGCCACTGCGCCCAGCTGAGAACCAGTCTTTAAAATAAAATAATAAAAAGGATGTGACCCTTTTTTGGCTGAAAGCTGGTTCCTTTTACTGACATACTTCCAACAGGGCCTGACACAGAAAAATCAATCAGTGGATATGATTCAACAAATATTTACTGACTCAAAGTCTTAACCTTTGAACTGGGGAGAGTGGAACCTATAATAATCCTGAATATTCTTCGCAGATAGAACATGGGTTGAAAAAGAGGTAACAGGCAGGGTGCGGTGGCTCATGCCTGCAATCCCAGCACTTTGGGAGGCCGAAGCTGGCTGACTGCTTCAGTCCAGAAGTTCAAGACCAGCCTGGGCAACATGGCAAAACCCCGTCTCTACAAAAAGTACAAAAATTAGCTGGGCGTGGTGGCATGTCCTTGTAGTCCCAGCAACTTGGGGGACTGAGGTGAGGGAATCATCTTGGAGCCCAGGAAGTCAAGGCTGCAGTCATGATGGTACCATTGTACTCCAGCCTGGGTGACAGAGCGAGACCCTCTCTCAAAAAAAAAAAAAAAAAAAAAAAAGGAGATAACAAAACATTACTCTGGCATAAACCTAGTCTGCCTTCTTCCCAAATATTAAGGATTAAAAAGTCTCCACTCTCTAACTGGAGCTTTTCAGACTTTTCAGACATCCCCTCTCCTTTTGTCACCTTGGCCGGGTCTGTTTCATTGCGTGACCTCGGTGTGATCAGACACACTGGAGGCAGAGCATCTTTGGGGCCTATCTCACTATCTCACGAGCCCCTGTGCTAAGAGCTTCCAGGACATCTTGTGTGTTACCCGTCAGGTACACAACACCCTTTCCTGCCACTATCTGTTTGTTCAGTGTGTCATCTTCCCCAATGGGTTGGAAGCTCGGCAAGTCGCACCCAGCATGCTATCCCAACACCTAGCACAGCGCCTGGTACAGAGGAGCTTGGTAGGGCACTGCCGCGCTAACTGGGTGGATGCCGGGGCTCAGATGCACAGGCAGCAAGCACCTCGTCACACACCTCGCAGGCCACGGAGCTGGGAGTCATGTCCCGTTCAGCTCTGAATCCCCACCAACCAGTTTACTAGAAAAGGGCCCCCTAGGATCCTCCCCTAAGTATCTGCCAGTTGCACAGAATTCCAACCAAGAGATTAGCTTCTCTGCACGCCCCCAGAATTTACTGGAGAGGCACCTTCTCTAACACCCTTGGATCTGCACATAGGCCAGCACTGGGTTTTCCATGCCTAGGACAGAGAGCTGTGCACGCCCAGCCCACAGTGGGACTCGCAACCCCACGAACCTGTCAACCTCTTCCTTCATGTAGGTGGTGTAGCTGTTCCCATTGTAGGAGAGCAGGAGCCCCCCATCGTTCAGCCGGTGGGCGTCAATCTCGATGTGGCAGCCATTCATGATGAGAACGAACATGGTCAGAGACTGCCGGGCCACCTGTGGGGACAGGCCCCTTGTCACCGCCTGGGTTCAGGATGTGCTCCCAGAGCACTGTTTGGCCCCACTAACAACAAACAAGAGCTGGTTGTCCACCACAGAGGGCCAAGATGAACACCCCTGTCTCTTGGATCCAGCCCTCACAATCCCTGCCAAGGGAGCAGCTGCTGATGGGGCTGGGGGAGGCCTGGAGTAGCAAGCCACACCTGCCCATGGGTAATACAGTCGCTGTCAAGCCATGTTGCTGACTGCATGCCCTCTGGGGCTAGTCTCCCTTCTGATTCCTGTCTCCAGCTCTCACTCTGGGTGAGGCAGCCTCAGAGATTCCACCAGCAGCCAGGTGCAATGGACTAAATGTTTGTGTCCCCACAAAATTCATAAGTTGAAATCCCAACCCCTAATGTGATGGCTTTAGGAGGTGGAGCCTTTGGGAGGTGATTAGATCATGAAGGTGGGGCCCTCGTAAAAGAAATTAGTGCCCTTATATAAGATGCCCTGTAGAGCTCCATGGCCCCTTTCTGACATCTAAGGACATAGTGAAAGGACAGCATCTATGAAATGAAAGGTGGGTCCTCAGTAGATACCAAATCTGCCAGTGTCTTGATTTTGACCTTCCCAGCCTAGAGAATTGTGAGACATACAGTGTGTGGTTTAGAAGCCACTCAGTCTTTGGTATTTTATGACAGTAGCCCAAATGGACTAAGACACCTGAACGTAGACTAGGGCTCTACTCCCCAGACCCAGCTCTGCCCAGGAGCACACAAGAGCTTTGGGACATGCGAGAGAGACACAGCCAAGCCCTGGTCCCAGCACTACATCTGCCTCTAGGAAGAGTGCCTGCCCCATCTGGTACTTCAGTTCAGTTTTCTCTCAGAAAACACACACCCTAAAGGGCCTTCAACCTATAAAATACACATTTTATGACACAAGGTAGCAAGAAATAGAAGAATGTGTATTGCAGCACTATTTGTAATAACAATAAAAATTAGAACCAAATTAGTAAGCCAACAACCTTGCAATGGAACACTCTAGATCTGCCCTGTCCGATAGGGTGACCCCTAACCACACACAGCTATTTAAATTGATGAAAATTAAACAAAATGTAAACTACAGTTCCTCAGTCACACTTGCCACTTTCAAGTGCTCAGTCACCGCATAAGGGCAGCATCGTGGACACAGCAGGTAAAGAACGTTCCCATCACTACTGAAAGTGCGGGGAGACAGTGCTGTAGACATGAGTTTAGACTCGTGTTAAAGAAAACTTGTTAATAGCATGGAAAACTTTATGCCACGATCATATCAAAGCTGCAAAACTGTATTTGCACCATGATCTCAACTTTGTAAAATTAATGCAAAAGAAAAAAATATGTAACAAAGATTTGCTAAAATGTTCACCAGGATTACCTCTAGGCATTAGCACATGATGGATTTGTTTTCCTGATTTTTTAGGCTCGCTTGAAATTTTGAAATTTTCTACATTGTGCATGTGTGACATTTAAAATCAAGTTAGGGGCAGCCACGTCCCCAAAGGTAGCCAAGAGGCATTAGGGGCAAAGGAGGATGATTGTGAAAGCACACCCTGATCAATGACACACAGGTTTAGTTGAACTAAAGCCCCCAAATCTCCCAAGTTGTGAGTTCTACTCGTGCTCATCTATATTAAATAGAAAGCATTAGTTAAAAAAAAACAAAAATTCTGTCTCAGAAGCAGACTCAAACTCTGTCCTCTTTTCCCTCCCGACAATTCCTGGAACCTGGAATGTGACCTTATTTGGAATGGGGTCTCTGCAGATGGAACTAAGATGAAATCATACTGGATCAGGGTAGGCGCTAAATCCAAGGTGACTGGTGTTCATACAAAGAGACACAAAGACACAGTCATGAAAGACAATGTGAACACACACACACACACACACACACACACACATACACACACACAGAGGCAGAGGCCGGGGGGTAGCTCATGCCTGTAATCCCAGCACTTTGGGAGGCCAAGGCAGGCAGATCACTTGAGCTTAGGAGTTCAAGACCAGCCTAGGCAACATGGTGAAATCCCATTTCTACTAAAAATACAAAAATTAGCCAGGCATGGTGGCATATGCCTATAATCTCAGCTACTCAGGAGGCTGAGGCAGGAGAATCGCTTGAACCTGGGAGATGGAGGTTGCGGTGAGCCAAGATTGCACCACTGCACTCCAGCCTGGGCGACAGAGCGAGGCTCCGTTTGGGAAAACAAAAAAACCAGAGACAGAGACGGGCAAGGCAGCCACAAGCCAAAAATCACCAGGGACTGCCAGCAGCACCAAAAGCTGGCAAGGCTCGGAACAGATCCTGCCCCAGCGCCTTCTTCAGAGAGACCACGGCCCGCCAACACCTTGATTTTACACTTGGCCTCCAGAACTGGGACAGAATAAATTTTTGTTGGTTTAAACCAGTTTGTGGTACCTTGTCTCCGCAGCTACAGGAAACTTATCCACGCTCCACTGTGCCCTCTGCGGACTGCACAGCCCTACATGTTCTAAAAGCCAAAGTGTTTAGGTGTCAAGGTCATGGACTACATGGGCATTCCTGAGGAACACAAGTGCTCAAACCCAAGCATGGGCAAATCCACTCCAGGGATGGTTCATGGAAGAAAGAAACTCCCTGAAGCTTGCACAGTGTTGGAGACATCGGAGAGGCACGGGGGCATTTACCTTGAGAATGTACTTAATGCCTCCGTAAATTAATTCCACATCTACGATGTTCAGTAGTGAATCCGCTGGGAGGACCTGGCCCCTGAAAGAAAAGACAGGGCCATGGTCAGCCTTGGGAGGGACTGAGAACTCCACAGCCATCCCTTGCATTTAAAAAAATTACGCAGCTCTCTGCATCAGCAAACCTGACTGCACTAAAAATGCTAAGCCTGGGCCGGGCGCAGTGGCTCACGCCTGTAATCCCTGCACCTTGGGAGGCCGAGGCAGGCATATCACTTGAGGCCAAGAATTCAAGACCAGCCTGGCCAACATGGCAAAGCCCCATCTCTACTAAAAATACAAAAATTAGCCAGACATGGTGACAAGCACCTGTCAACCCAGCTACTCGGGAGGCTGAGGCACAAGAATTGCTTGAAAGCAAAGGGGGCGGAGGTTGCAGTGAGCTGAGATTGCACCATTGCACTCCAGGCTGGGTGACAGAGCGAGACTGTATCTCAAAAAAAAAAAAAAAGCTAAGTCTGATTAAAAGGCACGCACAGAACCTGAATCACCCCAAGGAGCCTGATATTGCTCAGAACTTAAGGAATCAGCACTTGCTGAAGGATCTGAAATCTTAAAAACGCTTTTCGGGAGCAAAATCCATAATGGCCTCTCGGAAAAATTTCACATATGGGATCCTGCCTCCTGCTTATGAAAGAAACCAGAGCAGGGACTACGATTCTACTACCGTTCAAAAGCATAACAAAGCCCTAAAAACGTTTCTCGCCGGCACGGTGGCTCACTCCTATAATCTCAGCACGTTGAAGAGTTGAGGCAGGAGGATTGCTTGAGGCCACGAGTTTGAGAACAGCCTGGGGGGAAATATAGCGAGATCCCATCCATACAGAAAATTTTAAAAATTGGCCAGGCATGATGGCATGCACTGGTGGCCCCAACTACTTGGGAGGCTGAGGGGGGAGGATCACTGGAGCCCAGGAAGTCGAGGCTGCAGTGAGCCATGATCACACCACTGCACTCTAGCCTGGGTGACAGCCTGGATGACAGAGAACTCTCTCAAAAAAAAAAAAAAAAAAAAAGTCCTTTTACTTTCTTCTTGATAGTTCCTTTGCCTCTTGCAGTAGTTATTCACTGGGGGTGATTATTCTGCTCCTGACCCTGGGACATTGGGCAATGTCTGGAGATGTATTTGATTATCATGGCTCAGAGGGAAGGGCTGCTCCTGGCATTTAGTAGGGAGAGGCCAGGAATGCTGCCAACATCCTATGATGCAAAGGACAGGCTCCCAAACAAAAAATGATCCAGCACAAAACGTTAAAGTGCTGAGGCTGAGAAACCCCGGCCTATCCTAACAGAGATCGCCTAGTTGCTTTCCATTCTGGTCCATTTTATGATGACCCTCTGATTCAGGTGAGGGTCTGGGAATGCACCCATTTGTAGAGATGACCTTTCAGCCGCTTTGCTTCCTAAATCCGCCTCCTTGAACTCAGAACTCCTGACTATTATGATGTACCTTACACAAGTCAGCATGGATCTGTACACAACAGTCTGTACACTGACTGCCACCCTGGCCTCGACAATCCCATTCCCTGACCCACGGCCTCTTTGAGGGTGGCCTAGGTTGATCCGCAGAGGAATTTCCCCGAGGCAAGACCGGAGGAGAGACTCACCAATTGCCTGGTGACTAACTGGCCACACAAATAAAGGAGACAGGTTCTGCCTCCTAAGCTGCTAATACATATCACAAAAGCAGAAGGGAACTGCCACAGGCCCTACCTTTCCAGGCAGTGTAAGAAATCTGTCATGCACGTTCTGAACATCGCATCGGCCACGTTCAAGGCCCCGCATACCACCCCAAGCATGATATCCGGTTTCTCCGCCTAGGAGAGAATGTACTTCAGTATCCTCAGGAAGCTGAGGTCTCGGCCATCCAGAGGGGAGACACAGGCAGCTCACTCTCCACCTGCACTTTCTCAGCAATGAGGTAGTCCAACCACCCGGTGTCGATGTCATTGTTCTGGAAGCTCTCGGTCTCCAGGAGGTTAATGAGGTATTCCACGGTGGTCCTAAAGTCACCTCGGATGGACAGTTCCTTCAAAGCCACCACCATGTTCCTTGAAGGGAAAGGCACATGGATCATTCTCCAAATTCATGCATACATCAACAGAGTTGCTGCAATTATGTGGTTCAGAGAACTAGAAAAGCACAGGAGTGGCCAGGTGTGGTGGCTCACGCCTGTAATCCCAGCACTTTGGGAGGTTGAGGTAGGTGTATCACTTGAGGTCAGGAGTTCGAGACCAGCCTGGCCAACATGGTGAAACCCCATTTCTACCAAAAACACAAAAATTAGCTCAGCATGGTGGAGCACACCTGTAATCCCAGCTACTCAGGAGGCTGAGGCAGGAGAATCGCTTGAACCTGGGAGGCAGATGTTGCAGTGAGCTGTGATCGCCACTGCACTCCCACCTGGGTGACAGAGCGAGACTCTGTCTCAAGAAAGAAAAGAAAAAAAAGAAAAGAAAAGAAAAGAGAGGAGAGGAGAGGAGAAAAAAAGGAAAGGAAAGGAAAGGAAAGAGAAAAGAAAAGCACAGGAGTTAAGAGAAGGCTCTGACTGACACAGCCAGTACATTGACTCAGCACCACGGTTTACCGCCTGGGTAATCTTGGCCAAGTGACTTGGGAACTCTGGGCCTCACTTTCCTCCTAAGGAAAATGGGGAAACAGCCCTGACTTCAGAAGGGTGTTTCCGAATTGAAAGGAGACAACCCATGTAATGCACATGGCCACTGGTCAATAAATGTTAACTACAATGAACGTGATTAGTTACCATTGTTATCATTATTGACTATAATAGTTAATGATTAGTAGACAGAGAACCGGCCAGCCATGGTGGTTCACGCCTGTAATCCCAGTACTTTGGGAGTCTGAGGCGGGAGGACTGCTTGAAGCGAGGAGTTCAAGACTAGCCTGGGAAAAATAGTGAGACCCTATCTCTACAAAAAAGTTTTTTAAATCAGCCAAGCTTGGTGATACGTGACTGTATTCCCAGCTACTCAGGAGGCTGAAGGGGGAAGATCACTTGAGCCCAGGAGTTTGGGGCTGCAGTGAGCTATGATCACACCACTGCATTCTAGCCTGGGCAACACAGTGAGACACCATCTCTTAAAAGAAGAAAAGACAGAGGGAAAATTGGTCACTGCCTCTGTCTCTCCCTTGACCTACTCCAATCTCCTCCTGTCCCCAGAGCTGGTGCCACCCTCTCACCATCCACACAGCTGTTCCACCTGTGTATGTGGGGTGCACCTGCAGATGGATGGCACTGTCACCTGGCTCAGGGGCCTGGTGGGCCCCATGGCTGCCTCTCCCCAACACATAGCGTCCAATCTCCAAGCGCACCAGTTCAAATGGCTAAACCTCAGGCTGGGCGTGGTGGCTCATGCCTGTAATCCCAGCACTTTGGGAGGCCAAGGTGGGCGGATCACCTAAGGTCGGGTGTTCAAGACCAGCCTGACCAACATGGAGAAACCCCATCTCTACTAAAAATACAAAATTAGCCGGGCGTGGTGGTGCATGCCTGTAATCTCAGCTACTTGGGAAGCTGAGGCAGGTGAATTGCTTGAACCCGGGAGGCAAGGTTGCGGTGAGCCAAGATTGTGGCATTGCACTCCAGCCTGGACAACAAGAGCGAAACTCCATCTGAAAAAAAAAACACAAATGGCTAAACCTCTACTCCCTATGGATTCACGGTGAGTGTGGGCAGGTATCTGAATACCTCTTCTTCTGGGAGAGAAAGCTTTCTTTCTTTCTCTTTTGAGACGGAGTCTCACTCTGTCGCCCAGGTTGGAGTACAGTGGCACAATCTCAGCTCACTACAACCCCTGCCTCCCACGTTCAAGTGATTCTCCTGCCTCAGCCTCCCAAGTAGCTGGGATTATAGGCGCCCACCACCATGCCTGGCTAATTGTTATATTTTTAGTAGAGATGGGGTTTCACTCTTGTTGCCCAGGATGGTCTCGAACTTAGTGCTGGGATTACACGCGTGAGCCACCGAGCCCCCCCTTTTTTTTTTTGAGACGGAGTTTCACTCTTGTTGCCCAGGCTGGTGTGAAATGGCATGATCTCAGCTCACTGCAACCTCCACCTCCCAGGTTCAAGCAATTCTCCTGCCTCAGCCTCCTGAATAGCTGATATTACAGGCAGCCACCAGGACGCCCCGCTAATTTTTGTATTTTTAGTAGAGACAGGGTTTCGTCCTGTTGGCCAGGCTGGTCGTAAACTCCTGGTTTCAAGTGATCCGCCGTGGCCTCCGAAACTGCTGGGATTACAGGCATGAGCCACTGTGCCTAGCCGAGAAAGTTTTCATGTCTTGCAGCATCCTGTGTGCTGTCAGCAGGTAACAGGGAAGGACACTGATGACCCCATTTTGGGGGTGAGAAAATGAAGACCCAATGAGGTCAAACAAGGGTATCCACAGGCCATGAGTCAGCTGTGGGTCTGGAAGCCGGGTCTGAGTTAACCCGCTGGCCTCACGGGTGCGTGGCTTGTCCCAGTTTCCTCGGGGCAGTCCCCATTTTAGCACTGAGAAGTCCTTCAGCCTGAGAAAGCAGTGCCAGGAAAAGCAGGAGAGCCGATCTCCCTGCTGGACTCTCACTAAGAGCAATAAGAAAAGCTGGAATTTCTGCCTATGAGTTCTGTTGAAGTTGCAGTTGATCCACTCGTAGCATGTGACAAGCCACAGGTCACTTCACTCGGAGGGGTCTGGGTTGGCTGACCTGTCTCCCGCATCCTATTAAGCCCTTTTTGCTGCAATTTTCCATAAACTTCAAAGATCTCAATTTTTCACTAAGCATGATTAAAATTAATTATTCTAAGCTGGCAAAGAAAGCCTGATCATCAAAACTGCCCAACTCAATTCAATTCATGGCTAAGTGCCCCAGGCCAGATTTTAATGCTAAGGCCTTTGGGATTTTTTCACTCCGAAGGGCAGTTATTTACCCACACAAAAACCTTTAATTACAAAGTAAACTAGTTTTCTACCTTTCCACACCCATGTCAAGTCAGGGCAAGTGTCGGATGTGGTGTGTCAGAATTTGGGGGTCCCTCTGTCAATGTGGGCTTCTCAGCTCTGCAGAAACTATCACAAGCCTGGGAGGACTTGGCTGAGCTGGGGACATGGGGCTGCTGTCACAGGCCTCAGGGTGGTGGGTGGTTCACAGCAGGACACACTCCTTAAAATTTAGTCTTCCACATGAAATACAACCAATTAGGGAACTACCGATAAGGTTTAAATGTAAAGGAGTTTCCCTCCCCCTTTCTTCACCTACAGTACTTAGCACCTTTTAAACTTTGGGTACTCCTTGAACGATCTTTAGATCTCCTTCAAGCTAGACCTCTTATAAGCTCAAGACCAAATGACACGGTGCACTCATTTTACTCTGTGGATCTTCAATAAAGGAAAAGGGCAGGCTTTGATCTTGAACTTCAAGCACAGGGTATTTAAAATGGGGCCTACCCTGTGATTTACTTTTCTGGGTCTCCTCAAATGCAACTGTATCTGAAGCCCCAGGGGACCTTTTAGTTTCTTAAAGGAAGGAATTGGGAAAAGGAGGAAGTGGGAAGGGAAGGAAAGAAGGAAGGAAGGAAAGACCGAGGAAGAAAGGGAGGGGGAGGAAAGCAGAGAAGGGAGGAAAAGAAGGAAGGAGGGAGGAAGGGAGGAAGAAAGAAGACAGGAAGACGGGGGGAAGGGGAGGAGAGGGGAGGGGAGGGAATGGAAGGGGAGGGGAGGGCAGAAGAGGGGAGGAAGGAAGGAAGACAATGGAAGGGAAGGAAGGAAGAAAGAAGGGAGAGAGGCCTGAGGAGGGAGGGAGGGAGGGAGGGAGGGAGGGAGGGAGGGAAGAGAAAGAAGGAAAAGGAAGGAAGGAAAGGAAGGAGGAAGGAAGGAAGGAGGAAAGGAAGGAAGGAAGGAAGGAAGGAAGAAGGAGAGAAGGGAGAGAGATACTGACGAAATGGCCTCTTCCCGGTTCTCTCCCCAGGAGAAGCAGTGCCCAAACTGGGAATCCGCAAACTCATGCAGGCCTCCAGTAGCAGCCACACTGAAGTAACCCCACACGTTCTTGCTGCTGCGGAAATTCAGTTCCTGGACAGTCCCAGAGCTCGGCTTAAACCCCTGGAGTCCAGACAGAAAATGCAAAATGGAAGAAATCATTACTCCAGATATATTTTCATCAGAATTCAGTCCTGGGAAAACCCAAGAACCCCTACCCTAACCAAAAGCTTAGAATAGGTTTTCATTATCCAGAATTGGAAATCTAACCTGTCCTCACTTTTATTTAAACTTTTTATATTCACCTCTGCAGGTGAAGAAATCTAGGGCGTCCCAGGCAGGGCCCTTGCTGCTGGGAAGGGGCCATTTCATCAGTATTTCCTTCCTTTCCTCTCTCCTCCCTTCCTCCTTCCCTCTCTCCCTTCTTCCTTCCTCACTTCCCCCTTCCCTCCTTCCTTTTCTACCCCTTCCTCCCTCCCTCCCTCCATCCTGGTCTACCTCACCCCATCGGCCAGGCTGCTGCCAACACACACCTGATCCCCTCTGGGGGAATGGCCTATCTCCCTCTGAGTACAATTTTGGTAAGAGTGGGTGGACATGGCACCTGTCACTGGGATTAGGGCTCCTGAACTAAGGGATGAAGGTTTCTGGGAGAGGTATGTAGAGGTGAGAGATGGAGAGACCCAAGTGCCTGGGCTGTTACCATACCTGGTCCTCCATCCTCCCAGGAATGTGGGAACTAGCCATCATCCCTCCAAAAAATTCCCCTTTTGCATGTCCACCAGAGTCGGTGTTTGATTCATAGCCAAGAACCCCAAACAAATGCAGCTACCCTAGCTTAAAATTATTTAATTAAAAGGGGTGGAGGTGTACCCTCTCTTACCCCCAGGTTCCTGAGTGTAATAATTAAGCCATTAAGTTGTAGTAGATTGATGAGTCCTGTGATAATCAATGGTTGCTATGCATGTAAACTGTAAGGGATGCCAGTTGGTTTGTTTTTTAAGACCCAAGTAAGACCAAGTCACAAAGGGACTGTCTACAATGAGCCAGACTTTATACTGTGGCAAAAAAAGCACACGGGGCCAGAAATCCAAGGACTAGGGTTCTAAACCTGGCTGCTTGTCCCAAAGATAGGCATGGCTTTTGGAATCTACTGATAGGTCTCAGCAGGTCCCAGACGAGAGACAGGAAGCAAGTTACCCCAGGCTCTTTGCCTGTAATGTGGAGTGACAATGTCCAGCAGCAGGAGTTCCTATAAGTGAGCACTGAGACACGGGAAGGCTCGGCCCAGAGCCTGGCAGTAATCCAAAAATCCAATAAATCCAGCCAGGTGCAGTGGCTCATGCCTGCAATCCCAACACTTTGGAGGCCGAGGCGGGAGAATCACTTGAAGTCAGGAGTTCGAGACAAGCCTGGCCAATATGGTGAAACCCCGTCCCTACTAAAAATAGAAAAATTAGCCGGGCATTGTGGCGGGCACCTGTAATCCCAGCTACTTGGGAGGCTGAAGCAGGAGAATCGCTTGAACCTGGGAGGCGGAGGTCGTAGTGAGCCAAGATCACATCACTGCACTCCAGCCTGGGTGACAGAGTGAGACTTCATCTCACAAAAACAAGAATAAAAATAAATAAAAATCCAATAAATCCAATAATCCAATAAACCATGGCATGTCCCTTCCCATGCCTCAGTTTCCCCATTTGTAAACTGAGATGCCTGGATAGCTTATGGGTGTCTCTTCTCAGGCCAACATCCAGGGTCCCCACATGCTGGGAGATCTGAAATGGTGGAAACACAGGGGCCCGCATAACTTGCCTCATCTGGGTTTTCACTGGTGATTCTGGCGGCAATGACGTGACCTCGGGCGAGGGGAGGGTTTGACGGGGTTTCGAAAGAAATGGGAGTCACTCCCCATGGCGACTCTCCGTACAGAAGCCGGATATCCTTCAGCCGGTGCAGTGGCACGCCCATGGCGATCTAAAATCAAGAGATCCAACCCACAGACTGTCAGCCCTACCAGAACATGGCCCCAAAACACCAGGCACAGTGGTAGATGCAATAGAGGTTCAGTCAATGATTTAGGATATACAGACACTACTCTATAGACAACATGGTGCTCTACTGTGGCCAGAAAGCCAAAGAAAGAAAAAGCCGTAAGGCATGAATCTTTCATGGTGGAGCAAATAGTACATTTGGGAAAAGGAAAAATATTTATGAAAGGACATCACACAAGAAAATACATGCATTAAGTAATACACGCACTAGACTTTTACAGCTAGGGAAGGTGAGAAGTAACCATGTTGGCTGTAGAGTTAAAGGAGGTTTTTGTAAAGGGCACCCAAAGATGAAACTGGACATGAAGAATTGGTAAAAAATAGACAATTATGGAACCAGCTTAACCAAATGATCAGAGTTAACATGCTTCATGATGGGATGTATTAAGGACACAACACCTGTGTAGCATTCTGCCAAAATGTGTAGCAGGAATTGAACAAGTAAGAAACATCAGAGAAATCCACAGTGAGGGACATTCTGCCTGAGCTCCTCAAAAATGCCAGTGTTCATGCCTGTAATCCCAGCACTTTCGGAGGCCGAAGCAGGCAGATCGCTCGAGCCTAGGAGTTGGAGACCAGTCTAGGCAACATAATGAGACCCCATCTCTACAGAAAAAATTAAAAAAACATTAGCCGGGCATGGTGACTTGCACTTGTGGTCCCAGCTACTCAGGAGGCTGAGGAGGGAGGATTACTCGAGCGTGGGAGGTTGAAGCCATAGTGAGTCATGATTGTACCACTGCACTCCAGCCTGAGTGACAGAGCAAGATTCCATCACAAAAAAAAAAAAAAAATTAATGCCAATGTCAAGGATGAAAAAAGACTATGGAATGCTTTCAGATTAAAGAGATTAAAGACACATGAAAATAAAATGGAATATGTCACCCTGGGCTGGATCCTGGATTTAAGAGACAAACAAAAAACAGCCATAAAGAGACATTATTGGAACAACAGGGAAAATATTTAATGCGAATGGTATATGTTAGATATAGATGTGGTATCAATGCTATATTTCTCAAGTGTCATAACTGCACTAGGGTATTGGACCAGAATGTTCTTGTTCGAGGGGGCCCTTAGAATGAAGTATTCAGAGGCCATATGTTACGAAGTTTCACTCAAACCATTGCTCAAAAGATTTAGCCCATGGCCAGGCACAATGACACACACCTGTAATCCCAGCATTTTGGGAGGCCGAGGTGGGCTGATCAATTGAGGTCAGGAGTTTGAGACCAGCCTGGCCAACATGGTGAAGCCCTGCCTCTACTAAAAATACAAAAATTAGCTGGGTGTGGTGGCGTGCACCTATAATCCCAGCTACTCGGGAGACTGAGGCAGAAGAATCACTTGAACCTGGGAGGTGGAGGTTGTAGTGAGCCAAGATCGCACCACTGCACTCCAGCCTGGGTGACAGAGAGAGACTCCATCTCAAAAAAAAAAAAAAAGATTGAGCCCCCTAAAATTATACAAACAGACAGAAGAGAGGCAAAGCAAATGTGGCAACTGATGGATCTACATGCAGGGTGTATGGGTGTTAACTGTATCATTCTTGCAACTTTTTTGAAATCTTTCAAACTAAAAAAAATAGAGAAATTTTTTTTAATTCTGTGGAAGGAAGAAAAAGAGGAAGGGAGGAAGACCACCCTGGGCAATATAATGAGATCCCATTATGGGAAGAAAGAAGGAAGGAAGAAAACAATAAAAAAATTGAGAGAAGAAATAAAGGACATCCAAATTGGAAAGGAAGAAGTCCAATTATCCTTGTTTACAGATGATATGATCTTAAAATTGGAAAAACCTAAAGAATCCACCAAAAAACTATTCAAATTGATAAAAAAAAATTCAGTAAATCTACAGGATACAAAATCAACATATAAAAATCAGTAGCATTTCTATATGCCAAGAGCGAACGATCTGGAAAAAAAAATCAAGAAAGTAATTCCATTTAGGATAGTTACAAATAAAATAAAATCCCTGGAATAAACTTAACCAAAGAAGTAAAAGGTCTCGATAATAAAAAGCATAAAACATTGATGTAAGACATTGAAGAGAACACAAAAAAATGGAAAGACATTCCATGTTCATGGTTTGGTAGAATCAGTATTGTTAAAATTGTTGTATTACCCAAAGCAATCTATAGATTCAATGCAATCCCTATCAAAATACCAATGACATTCTTTACAGAAATAGAAAAAAAAAAAAATCCTAAAATTTATATGGAAACACAAAAGACCCAGAATAGCCAATACCATCCTGAATAAAAAGAACAAACACTGGAGGAATCAAATTACCTGACTAGGAGTTATACTACAGAGCTACAGTAACCAAAACAGGGTGGCACTGACATAAAAACAAACACATAGACCAATAGGACAGAATAGAGAACCCAGAAACAAATCCATACATCTACAGTGAACTCATTTTTGATAAACCTGCAAAGAACATGCAGTGGGAAAAAAGTCTCTTCAATAAATGGCGCTGGGAAAACTGGATATCCATATGCTGAATCATAAATGAAGAATCAAATTCTTCAAATCAAACTGAACTAAAGACTTAAATCTAAGACCTCAAATTATGAAACTACTAGAAGAAAACATTCGGGGAACTCTTGGGAATGTCAGTCTGGGCAAAAATTTATTGAGTAATACCCCAAAGGCACAGACAACTAAAGCAAAAAAGGAACAAACGGGATCAAATCAAGTTAAGAAACTTTTGCACAGCAAAGGAAACAATCAACAAAGGGAAGAGACAACCCACAGCATGGGATAAAATATTTGCAAACTATCCACCTGACAAGGGATTAATAACCAGAATACATAAGCACCTCAAGGATGAGCAGGGTGACTCATACCTGTAACACCAGCACTTTGGGAGGCTGAGGTGGGAGGGTTGCTTGAACCCAAGAGTTTGAGACCAGCCTAGACAACATAGTGAGACCTTATCTCTACAAAAAATTTTAAAAAGTCAGCTGGGCATGGTGGTGTACACCTGTAGTCTCAGCTACTCAGGAGGCTGATGTGGGAGAATCACTTGAGCCCAGGAGGTCAAGACTGCAGTGACCCATGATCATGCCACTGCATTCCAGCCTGGGCAGCTGAGCAAGGTTCTGTCTCAAAAACAAAAAAGAAAATAAAACAACTCAGTAGGAAAAAGTCTAATGAATCCCATTAAAAATAGACAAAATATCTGAATAGACATTTCCCAAAAGAAGACATACGAATGGCAAACAGGCATGTGAAAAGGCACTCAACATCATTGAACATCAGAGAAATGCAAATCAAAACTACAATGAGACATCATCTCACTCCACTTAGAATGGCTTTTATCCAAAAGACAGGCAATAAGAAATGCTAGCGGCCAGGCATGGTGGCTCAAGCCTGTAATCCCAGCACCTTGGGAGGCCGAGGCGGGTGGATCACGAGGTCAGGAGATCAAGACTATCCTGGCTAACATGGTGAAATCCCGTCTCTACTAAAAATACAAAAATTAGCTGAGTGTCATGGCGTGCGCCTATAGTCCCAGATACTCAGGAGGCTGAGGCAGGAGAATTGCCTGAACCTGTGAAGTGGAAGTTGCAGTGAGCCGAGATCACGCCACTGCACTCCAGCCTGGGTGACAGAGCAAGACTCAGTCTCAAAAAAAAAAAAAAAAGAAAAAAAAAAAAAAAAAAAAAAAAAAAGAAATGCTAGCAAGGACGTGGAGAAAAGGGGCCCCTCATACACTGTTGGTAGAACTCAAAATTAGTACAACCACTATGGAAGACAATATGGAGGTCCCTCAAAAAAACTAGAAGTAGACGGGTGCCCAAGATGGCCGAATAGGAACAGCTCCAGCCTCCAGCTGCCAGCATTAGTGACACAGAAGATGGGTGATTTCTTCATTTTCAACTGAGGTACCGGATTCATTTCACTGGGGCGTGTCAGACAGCTGATGCTGGTCCACGGTTAAAGAGCTGAAGCAGGGCGAGGCACCGCCTCACCTGGGAAGCGCAAGGGGTAAGGGAATTCCTTTTCCTAGCCAAGGGAAATTGAGACACACAACACCTGGAAAATCAGGTAACTCCCACCCTAATACTGCGCTTTACCAAGGGTCTTAGCAAACGGCACACCAGGAGATTATATCCCACACCTGGCCCAAAGGGTCCCACACCCACAGAGCCTCCCTCATTGCTAGCACAGCAGTCTGAGATCTAACTGCAAGGTGGCAGGGAGGCTGGGGAGGGGTGCCCGCCATTGCTGAGGCTTAAGTAGATAAACAAAGCTGCCAGGAAGCTCGAATTGGGTGCAGCCCACCGCAGCTCAAGGAGGCCTGCCTGCCTCTGTAGACTCCACCTCTGGGGACAGGGCATAGCTAAACAAAAACCAGCAGAAACCTC